TTAGCTACGCTCTGTGCCAATGCCAGGAATGTGGTCTCTTCTCCTTCCTTTTGTCCTTGGGGGGAAAGCAGACATTTAGCACCTCCCCTGCAACTGGCCAAGGAAGGCTTGCCAGAGAACTTCCACCTGAAGGTGATCAAGGATGTGTGGGCACAGGCAGCATAGAAGAGGCTTAGGGGCAAAGACAGTTCAGGCAGAAGAGATGGTCTTTACAGAGGCTTAGAGTCTGAGACTCTGAGGTAGCCCATTCTGGAACACAAAGAGAGGTGGATTAGAACAACTGATAGAGTCTAAGATAGAAAAGCCTTTGTGTTGTGTCACAAATCTGGAGGGCACTGGGTAGCCACTGAAGCATGAGCATTGGGGTGGGGGTCTCACATGGGAGAAATTGTCGTAGGAGGCTGAGTTAAAACGGTTTATTTGGTCATTCAGGCTCAGGGGTCCCAGGGTCAGGGGGAGACCCTCCCTGAAAGTAGAGCAGCTCTAGCGTGGGGCTGTGTGTGTGGACAAGCTGAGGTGAGAATCGAGGGTTCCCCCTTGGGTGGGTAGGGATGAGTGGACAGGTTTTGGTTTCCTTGACCAGGCCTGAGACATCATCCTGCTGAGACCCCTGCCCTCACGTCTATCTACGTGATTCTTGTCTTCTATGCTACCTCTTCTTCCCTGGTCCAGTGAGTGTGTGCCCACACATTCTCCCTACCCACTTGGCCTGACCAGCCTGTTGTAGTCACAGCCTGTCCAAGGAGGCCACCTGGAGGTGTGTCACTTGGCTTGGGTTGGCTTGGGCCTGGCTCTGTCTGCCTTTCTGAATGCAAGTCAGTGAGTGACCTGAGCCTTATGTTCTCACCTATAAACTGGACTAGTTGTGGTGCCTGGGCCTGGTGAAACGCCAGCGTGCCATGTGTGCTTCCCCTAGCCCCTCCCTTTCCCTCCATTCCCATACCTTCCCTCTGACCTTGCCAGAGCACGGTAGGTGCTGGGGAAGACAATGCCCAGTCGATGCACAGTGTGAGCAGAGACACATGGAGCCGGTGGGAAGGGACTCCAGGAGGCATATTGTTCAGTGGCTCAGGCGAAGGAAAACAAGTCTGGTATCTGGTCTTCTAATTCCTGGAGGATGGTATCTAGACTTTACCAGGTCTGGGCTAGGGGATTCTTGGCCACTTGTTGTAGTCAGGCTGAATGATTTGGCAAGGCTGCCCTTGGGGCCTGGGTGTCTTTCAGGCTGTGTTTAGAGAGAGGTCCACTGGAAGCCCAGGACTATGTGCTTGGGGTACCCTCTGTTTGGGTAATAGTCCTCATGTGCCTTTTAGGCTCTTCTGACTATGGCAGGCCTCTATATCTGTCTACCCCTTCTGGGGGAGTAGGGCAGGAGTTAGAGAGGGGGTGATGTTTGAGGGAGGCTGGTAGAAGATAGGGGTTACCCCCAAGGGGTTGGATACTGTTAGGGGAGACAGTAGTACAGATCTGGGCTTCGTGAAGTCTGATACTCAGAGGTGCTAGAGCTCAGGCCTAGGAGCCTTGGTCACTCAATAGACAGGGCTGCTCAGATAGACCCACCACATTGCTTCCTGCCTCCCTTGGGAAAGCCAGGGTTTGTGTAGCTCAGGGGTGCTGGGTGAGGTTGCAGTCAGAATTTGGGGGAGTGGTTGGCAGTGGGGCCTGAAGTGCAGACCAGTTCACCACCTCCCAGAAAGGGTGGTCTACCTGCTCAGCTCTGTTCTGCTGCAGTGAAGTAAGCCCACCTGGGCTTCAGAGGCCATCATGGGGTTGTAGCTGTGTGACCTAAGCAAGTGACTTGCTCTCCAGTTTAGCATTGCTTCCCATCCCCACGGTCAGTGCAGTCCTCCCCAGCAGCTTCTCTGAAGGATTCCATGGGTGATAAAAGAATAGGAGGGGAGTGCCTGGGACAGGTCAACTCCCTCCTGTCCCCTCAGGTCACATGGTAATGTATCACATTAATGCTGTCATCCTCCCTTTGTTCTGGCTTCCCCTGTACCAAGGCCCTGTCCCTGCTTTGTCCTGGGGGCTGTCCTGATACCCTGGGTGACATTTCTGGTGTGACAGTCTACCTGTTTAGCCCTCACCTCCTGTGCCTTGCTTGGATCCCTGGATGCTGACTCAGATCTGTTGCCACCTGAGAAGGTCCAGACTTTACTGCTAGAACTGGGCTTCCTTAGTCCAGATTTTTGGCTTTGCGTGCTGAACCCTGAGGGGTCTGGCCTGTTCCCTGGGCATTTGCAGCCTTTTATGAGGTGCGTGCTCTGAAGTTAAGCTGCTGGTGGGCCCTGGGCTTGGGATCTGGCTCTAGCCTGGCTTCCTGCAGCTTTGTGGCTTTGGGGAAGTGGAAGGAGGGCAGGAGCTTCTCCATCTTTTCTGAGGTATGCTTGTAACAGCCCCAGGGAAGGTGTCAGGAGCCCTTTGGGGCCCCAGAGCTTATACTGTCCCCAAAGTGGGTACAAGAGCCTGGACTTCAGGTGGGCCAACTCTGGTCACCCCTTCTCTGAGGGCTGCCCCTCAGTAGCTACAGAGCTGCCATGTGGGCAGAACAACCCCCTTCCCTCATTTAGGCAGCTAGAGAGCAACGGAGCTGGTCTTCATTCCTGGCCTGTCCAGTCTGGACTGGTTATACCTTTCTCCCCAGATTCTCTGGCAGCCCTAGACCCATAAATAGTGAGAAGCTGCCACCACTGCCCACTGGCTGCTCAAGCAGGCCACTCAGGTAGTAAGCAGCTAAGGAAGGTTGGGGCTGTACCAGGGCTTGGCCTGTGACAGCTGTGCCTGTGTGGTGGGACAAGATTATATTTTCCAGCCCCAGAGGTTGGGCTCTCTTAGTGGCTCTGCTGTTTACTTGCCATCTGTCACTAACCCAAGGAAACAGTTCCAGAGTGCTCATCCCTACTCACCAGGGGCTTTCGGCTTCAAAAAGTTTGTCTACTCTGAGTGTGTGCTCCCTGGCACAAGTGGGATCTTAGTGTAGGATCTTAGCTTGGTGGTGCCAGAAGGGAACTGTTACCTCCACAAGACTTCAGACCCTTGGAGTCCTTGAAGTCAAACTTAATGGCTGATGACTCATTTGGTCTGCTCTCTGCCAGCAAGAACTCACACAGGGATGTGAGGTCTGTCCTGGTAAGGAAAAGGGCTTCAGGGCTCAGGTGATTCTGCGTTCCTCTTCCCTGTCTGGGTGTTACCTAGCACCACCTCTTCCTCGTGCTCCTCTAAAGAATCCTAGCCTTGAGGGAGGCGACTTGTCTTTGGTTTGTAGACCAGGAGAACTTAAAAGGGGCCTTAGAGCCCATCACATTTCTCCCTCCTTTGCCCAGATTGGAAAACTGAGGCTCAGATAGGGGTGGTAACAAGGACTGGGTCTTCTCTTGCTGTTGGGTCCTGCTTCCCTGATCCTAGAGTGTCCAGAGTGGAGGCTGGGACTGCGGGAGCTGTGCCCTGCTGGCTTCCGCCTCTGTGAGGCCAAAGCAAAGGGGTAGTGGCCAGTTGCCCTGCCTACCCACTAGTTTGAGCCTGAGAGCATCAGAATGTATGTTCCCCCTGCTGGCCTCAGGAGAGCACCTCTGCTCAGGGTCAAAGCCCTGTGACTCCTGCCTGTCCATCTTGCACTTTCACCTAGGCTTAAACCTTTCTCCCAAGACTTTCAGGATATGTGACCTTCTGCTTTTCTGACTCTGTTTTTCCTATCTATTTACAGCAGGCCAGCCAGTAGGGGTAGGGAGACCTATGAGGACTGGATGTAGTTGTTACCAAGAATGCCAGGCAGCCAGGGCAAGGCAGCATCTGATCCTACCTCCACTTCAACTCTTGCCCTGATCACAGCACCTGTTCCCTCAGAACCAAATTACTACTTTGTGCCCAGCAGCCTATGGGAAAGGTGCTTTCAGGGCCTTCTGCCAGTTGCACCTCCATTACTCCTCATCCCAGGCCTCTCTCCAGCCCCTTTGCTGTACCAGCCTGACTTGCCAGCCTTCCTTGTATCCTACAGGGAGCCTTGGGCTTCTTTGAGGTTTTTCTGGGCCTTGCTTCAGATCACTGCCCTGGATACCTCCCTGCCCAGTTTCTACAAGCCCTCTTCCTTGACTTTACCTTGCATGTTCTTCCTTTACTAGGCAGAATATTCCTTGAAATTCATACCTGATACTAGGTGGGGACTTTGCCTTCAAAAGCCCTTGGGCCTTGGCTGGCGTGGCTCAGTTCATTGGGCCTCATCCCACAAAGTGAAAAGTTGACTGTTTCATTCCCCAGTCAGGGCATATGCAGAGTTGTGGGTTCAGTCCCTGGTTAGGGGCATGTGCAAGTCAACCAAGTGATGTTTCTCTCTCACATCGATGTTTCTCTCCCGCTCTCTCTCCCTAACTTTTTTTTTTCTCTAAATAATAAAATCTTAAAATTAAAAAAAGAAAGGCAGCCTTTGGCCCAGTCAGGAGCCCAGAAGGAACAAAAGCTTCCAAGTGGCCGTGGTGGGACAAGCACTTGAATGTGGAGTTGGGCCTGGGTCCTCGTGGCTCTGCCACGGCCTCAGTGTCCCTGCGTGAGAGAGTGGAGAAACTCTCACTCTGTTCCCTCCAGCCCTGCCATAGACCTGGACCAGGAGAACCTTCCTGTCTTGGTGTTTCAGGGAGGATGAAGTTGTCTGTTATAATATGTTGGTGCCCACCAGAGGGTCTGCAACCATCTGGTAGGTGGAAATGCTCTGGAGACCCTCTGGGCCTGAGCTGCTTCATCCAACTGAAAGAGTGCCCTGGGATCTTCCCCTGGGGCTGCAGCTTCCTATCCACAGATGTCTCTCGTTCCCTTCTCCTAAGCCTGAACTTCAGAAGTATCTTCATAGGTCAGTCAAACCAATCCCTGATTGAACCACAAGAGACTGAGGCACAGAGCAGAGCTTCTGGCCTCCATACTCAACCTGCTTGGAGAGAGAGTTGGTTTGGTAGGATCTGTACCCCCCACCAGAGCCTCACAGGTAATCCCCATGTCTGTTTCTTTTGTAGGACTAGATTAGACGCACCCCGGCTGGAGACAAAGTCCCTCAGCAGCTCTGTGTTACCGCCCAGCTATGCTTCAGATCGCCTGTCAGGAAACAACAGGGACCCTGCTCCGAAACCCAAACGGTCCCACCGCAAGGCAGACCCTGATGCTGCTCACAGGTAGGACCCTCAGCAAAGGCTGGCAGAGCAGCCCCATAGCCCAGCTGGAGGGTGACGTGGGTAGGGAAGCCTGGGATAAGTGGTTAGGAGCCTAGCATTGCCCAGCTTTCTAAAGCTTTATGTCTAGTTCCCCTGGGTTGGTGGCATTGGTGGCATTCACCCATGACTTCTGACTGATGGCCTATATCCCCAGCAAGAAGAGGTTGGGCCGAGACCCCGACGAGTGGAAATGCTAGTGGCCTAACCATGATTTCACATTTTCAGTCCACCCAGACACTCTTGCATGTTGTACCTAAACGATAGGAGGGAAACTTGGGACTTGGAAGATGGTGGACCAGGAACCCGTTTGGGAAGGATTGGGGAAGGTTTCTGAGGTAGTACTGTGTAAGCTTAGACCAGAAGGATAAGGAAGACCTGTGGGAAGGGCAGTCTGGGCAGGAGATACTGTATGGGCTGAAACACAGGCAGGGAGAGTTTGGTGGTTTCAGGGGCTAGTGGGGTTGGTGAGCAGAGAGAGGAGGTGGGGCAGAGATAGAAAGTGGCAGTAGCAGGCTGGGGATTGAGAAGTAGAGGGAGATGGTGGGGCTGTGCAGGGTGTTAGGCTGTGATAGGGAAGGCCTCTTCCTATCCGACAGACTCAGAACCAAGCATATCCACAGGGTACTTGGGACATGTCTCAAAGACTAGGGCAGCCACTAGCACTTCATTGGCAGGGACCACGGTGCCATTGCTTCTGCCAGTGCCACCCCTCTGGGGAGAACCACCAGGCTGGAGTGAGCCATTTGCAAATGAGGGTCAGTGCTGGGTGCAGAGTATTTAGAAGTAGGAGGCCTTGGACCTGGGCCAGCCTCTCAGATAACCCCTCCCTCCTCCTCCCACTCCAACCCCCTGCAGGCCTAGAATCTTGGAGATGGACAAGGAGGAGAACCGACGCTCAGTGCTACTGCCCACGCACCGGCGGAGGGGGAGCCTCAGCTCTGAAAACTACTGGCGCAAGTCCTACGAGTCTGGGGAGGACTGCCCAGAGGCCACAGGCAGCCCCACCCGGAAAGTGAAGATGCGGAGGCACTGAAGCCTGTCGCACCCTCTCTGGAACTCTGGTTAATCCTCACATAGCCGCCCCATTTTTCTATTTGTTTTGTTTTGTTTCGTTTTGTTTTTGACCCTTTTTTCCCCATGGTTTGTTGCCTGTTAAGGCTGAAGAACAGAATTAGTTCTTGGTTTTCTTCCTGGACAGAAAGGCTAACAGAAACTCATGCTGGAGTGGCCAGTAGAGGCCTGCAGGGCAACCGTCTTCGAGTGGGGCTGTGTCAGGCCAGTTTTATTTAAAACACACACACACACACACACACGCACGCACGCACGCACACAATGTTTTGGTTCTGAAAGTTACTGTTTTTGCTTTATATGTAAATCCTTCTCAGTGTTATTAATGAAGTTCAGTCCCTTCCCCCTTCCTCCCATGTGAAAGCTGGGTACAGATCTCCTGGGCCTCACTGGCTCCACAGGGGTCCTGCTGTCCTTCCACCTGTCACCTGCTCTCCAGGCTTTGGAAAGTCATGCAGACACCCTTTTCCTTCTGTGGCCGAGTCATTCAGGATGACTAGGCAGGGGCCTTAACAGTGACAGCCCCTGTACCCCACAGCTGCAGGTTGAGCCCCAGCATGCTCCACACCCACTGGCCTGCTCTGCCCATAGGTCCCTGGCTGCAGGGGGGCTGGCTGCAGTGGCCCTCGCCTCTCACTAAGAACATAACCTCTTCACTGGATTGCTTCTTTCAGGCATGTGTGTGTGTGGTTGTATGAACAGTTAGACTTGCCATGTTGGAGCAGTTTTAGGAATTGTTTCTAGCTAGAGGGACTGGTGTCCTTCCAAGTCTAGCATTTGGGGTATGGAAAACTGTTGTGTGTAGTAGGGATTTGTTTTCAGTTTATTTTTTTCTTTGGTTTCTTGTCTTCGCCTTTCTTCTGCATTGGCCAGTGTGGGCCTTCTACCCACACCATCCCTGTAGGAAGGTGCCTGCCCCTGTCCACCTGCAGCCACACCCACAGCTCAGGTCTGCACACTGGGTTGGTGTCTCTTCTGGCACCGGGAGTTGGGAAAGGGCTTTTAAAAAATAGTAATAAAAGAAAAAAGTATTCTTTGGCAGTGTGCGCCTACTCAGATTCTCGAGGACTATGAAGTTTTGCTGGTCTGGGTTTGTTAGAAACATCCCCTTGCCAGTTAGAGCCAAGACCAGGCCTGCTGAGAGCAAAAGCCCTTGGAGTCCCCAGGGTGCCTCCACCACAGGAGGACCTCGTTTCACAGAGGCCCGGGTCTGAGGCTGCAGGAATTTAGGGCAGCGAACATCAAGAATCCCTTCTTAGGGGCCAGGACTCCTTTACCAGCGTGACTCCTCAAGTTGGAACTACATAACTAAAGCAGTTGCAGGGTTTCATTTGTTTTTGTTTTGTTTTTTTACAGCTTTTCCCCCCAAAATGATTTGTAGTTGTGTGTGCAGCACTTTGCCCTCATATATGTGCTCTACAATAAAAACCAAATCTAATATATTTTGAAACAGTTGTCTGATGCTGTCATAAGAGAGGGCTTGCCTTTGGTGCTTCCTTAATCCCTTTATTTTCTCTTTAAACTCCAAATGGGGGTTGATGGTAGGCAGAACTCATTGCCCACGAGGATGGACTTGCCTTCTGCTTTCTCTCCCACTGCCAGGAGGGTCGATTTCATAAACGGTGTGTCCGGGTGCCCTGGAAGTCAGGATCGTGCCCTGCTGAGCTCTGGAAGCCCTTCCTCGTAGAGGTCATAGAGGCTGTGTGCTAGTGAAGGACAGACAGTATGAGCAAAGGCAGAGGGGAGAGCCTGCTCTTTGTAGAAGATAAGCAAGTGGTTTTGCTCATTAAACACATTCTTGAGTTCTTATGTTCTGGCCAAGCCCAGTAGTGAGCAAAACTTTTCTGGTCCTTGCTTTCAAAATGCATACAGTAGAGTTGTGGCATATGGATACAGGCATGAGACAGACGTTCTGGGAGTGGGAGTGGAGCCCAGAGGGATTTAGTACCTCCAGGTCCCGCACCTGGCTCTTAGGTTCTGGTCAGGGCTTTGGTGTAGGGGCTCCCTCATTTGTTTCCAGTGCCCTGAGCCAGTCTCCTAGGCCAGATTCTTGCTGTAGAAACCTGGCAAGCCACTTAACTGCCCATTTAACAGTGAGGAGAGTCCAGATGGAACAAGTTTCCAGTCAGGGCTCAGTCCTGCAAACTGCAGACAGATCTGGCCAGTTGGGCCTGCAGGGGTGGCCACAGGGCTGCAGACTGGGCTCTGGACGCCCCAGAGAGGAGGCATTAGAGCTGAGTGGGAAAGTGACTTGCCAAAGATCATGCTGACTACATGGTAGAGGTGGGCACCCCAATTTTATGCCTGGGCCCCTGACTAGGAACATGGGATGGGGGCTCACATGGAGAGCTGGGGAGCTGAGAAGGCCTCTCTTCTGTAGCTGTGACAAAGCCAGAGCTAGGCTGTGACTAGGAAGAACTTGGGTTCTTCCTAGTTCATGGATAAAAGAGGTCCTTTGCCCAGTAGGATTCAGAAACAGGAGAGGCTAAGGAAAAGGGGGTCCTGCCCTAGCAGGGCCTGCTCTGTCCTTGGCTTCAGTGTCTGCACCTGTACAGTGGCTCTTTGGCGCCCTCTCTCTTGGCCTGTGACAATCCTTTGAGCAGCCCCCAAGCCTGCAAAGGCCTTAAGGAAATGGGAGATCTCATCCTGGGGCACCAGCTGTTTGGGCCAGGGTACTGTGCCCCATCACTCTGTCCCCAGCCCAGCCTCGCACACAGTAGGTGCTCTGACAATATCTGGCACCAGTACTGCCCACCTGAGGAACCCATCCCATTTCTCCAACCCTGTTATGTGATGGGGGAAACTGAGGTCCAAAGTCAATGTTCATTTATTCATTCAGAAAATATCTGTGTATCCTATTGTGTGCCAAGCTCTGTGCTAGGTGCTGAGGATACAAGACAGACCTGGCATATGTCATATACACACGTTATTATAAATTGTACTGATATAAAAGATGTGTAGCACATAAATTACAAATAAAATATACAATACTCTTTATTATAAATTTTGTATAGCTGGTCATTTTTCACAAAATGCTTTTGTTGATTTTTTGGGGGGCGGGGCTGAACTCTTGTCTGTAGCCTACCTGTGGTGCTAATTCACCCACAATATGGTAAATGGAATTGCCTCTGCTTGTATTAGTTTCCTGTGGCTGCTACAGAAAATTACCACAACCAACAGAAGTTTATTTTCTCTCACTTCTGGTGGTCACAAATCCAAAATCACTATTACTGGGCTGAAATCACGGTGTTGGCAGGACCATGAAACTCCCGGAGACTCCAGTCCTTCCCTCCAGTAGTTCCTGGGCTTGTGGCCAAGTGGGCTCCTCTTGTGTTTACCAGCTCTCCCTTTCCCTCCCTCACTACCACACTTGTGTGACTGGATTTAGGGCCCAGCTGGATAATCAACAATCTCCCTTGTAAAGATCTTTAATCACATCTACAAGGTAAAATGTAAAATGTGAAAAAAACTTACAAATTCCAGGGATTAGGACCCAATATCTTTAGGGGCCACTATTCAGCCTACTGTGCTGCTCTTTTACCAGTAAATTTGTCATCATTAAATCTGATATATGATCTGATTTCTCGTTGTTGAACAAATTGTTAATTGGATTGAAACTTCTCAGCCTCAGCCCTATTAATTTGATCTGTATTCTTATTATGTTCTCCATCAGTTTCTTAAGTCTAGACCTGTGCTGTCCAATACAGTAGCCACTGGACAATTTGGCCGTTGAACATCCGAGGATGTGGCTAGTTGGAACTGAGATGTGCTTTAAGTGTAAAATATACCCCAGAATTTGAAGAGTTAGTATGAAAAGAGAATGTAAGATCTATCATTAGTTACTCAGTTATGTGTTGAAATAATATTTTGGACATGCTGGGTTAAATAAAATAAGCTATTTAATTTCACCTGTTTCCCGTTACTGTTTTAAATCTGACTACTCAAGAGTTAAAATTGTGTGGCTTGCATTATATTTCTATTGGATGGCACTGGTCTAGAAAATCAGTAAGTTAAGCCTGATTTGTGGTATTTGCCAATTTCCATGGTATAAATACACCCGTCATGGCTGACTTCAAGTTACTAACGAACTGTAACTGAACAGGGAGTGGTGGAGGCATGCAGGAGCACATCGCTTCCACCACACAAACAATAGTTGGAATTGAAGAGCACCGACAATAGCAAAACAATAAAATAGGAAGTGCTTAGTCTTGAACACTACTTTTGCTTTTAATGATTTAATTTTCTATGGTTTGATTTTTAATAATGGCTTTGTTTTAACAACTGACTTGAAAAAATTCTTAAAATTTGACAGCTGACTCTTGGAGCCATTATGGTCATTGTGGAGACTGCCATCCTCCAGTTAGATTTCAGGGTGCAGTTCTCCCCTGTGCCCACAGTGAGGCAGCAGAGTCCAAGTGACGGTGCTTCACAGTGGGGCAGACCAGCCATCCTTTGCTTTGGATTGGGAACTGGGCCCCAGAGGAGAGAATTTAGGATCCCTACTACTGCCCTGCTCAGCCAGCGCCCCCAATGTCAGTGGGAATGCAGAGGGGCCACAGCTCACTGGAGTTTTCTCCCCTATGAGCTGGGTTTTTTTTTTAAAGATTTTATTAATTTTATAGGAGAAGGGAAGGAGAAAGAGAGAAACATCCATGTGCCAGAGCTACATGGATTGGTTGCCTCTCACACACCCCCTACTGGGAACCTGGCCTGCTACCCAGGCATGTGCCCTGACTAGGAATTGAACCTGCAACCTTTTTTGCACACCAGTGCTCAATCCACTGAGCCACACCGGCCAGGGATCCCCTGCGAGATTTTGCACATGCCAGCGCCCTCTGTCCTAGGACGCTCCTGCTGGAGTCACCTGTCTTCCAGTCTCTTCAGGGCTGCCTGTGGGCTCCTCAGACCTCTGGCTTCGTCAGCACAGCCCAGTCCAGACTGTGCTGTGTGACCCCAGTGCTTCCACTCCAGGGTGGGACACTAGAAGCTAGCTCTGCCCTCTCCTGGACTCTCATGAGTGAGGCCCTTTACAAAGTGTCTCATTTAGTTCTCACCACAGCCTCTAATACCTCACTTCGGGGCCTAGGCTTGTAGCTTGACTTTACCATGTACCAGCTGTGTGACTTTGAGCAAATTACTTAACCTCTTTGGCTTCGGTTTCTTCCTTCGTAAAATGGGCACAGGATGAAACAAATGACTGTGGTGCCTGGAACAGACAAGTGTCCAGTGTTGTTAAGTGGTAGCAATTATTACCCCATTTTGCAGATGAGTAAACTAAGGTCCAGAAAAATGAGGTGACAGAGGCAAGAACTTGGGCCACAGAGAGGACTGACGCACAGAACTCCACCTTCCCACAACAGGCCTATGACAGTGGTCACCTGCTCAGTCCCTGGAGCCTGAAACTCCTGCAAGGGGCAGGCACACTTGAATCCCAAAGTTCTGTGGCCCAGCAAGAGCCAAGGACAGCACATCACAATGCCCTGGCTCTGCGAGTTTCAGGGGTGAGACCCCTGCAGCCAAGGAGGGCACAGTACGCTGGAGGTCCAGGTACCCATGCTGTTACCCCCATGTGACCTTGGGTAGGTCACTTCTTTCTGAACCTGTTTCCTTACTTATAAAATGAGGACAGGCTGGGTCTGCTCAACATTCCCCTGCCTCTTGGGCTTTTCTTTCACTGATGCCCAATACACTATTCATCCTCTGTTGGTTGAGCAACCCAGATCCACTACTACCTCCCCTACCTGGGCCCTAAAGAGCACCCTTAGAGCCACCTTCACCTAGCGCACTGCACAGGATGAGGGGACCACAGCCCACCCCTCCCCGCTCAGGCTCCCCAGGGTCCTCCTGGTCCGTCTTCAACTCTGCTTGCTTTTTTCCCTCTTCTCCTTCCAGCCCAGGCCCCACCTTCCCCACCTCCAGCCTAGACTCCATGCCAGGAACCCACTGCCTGCCAGGCCCCTGCGGGGAGCCACCAAGCAGAGACTGCTTATGTGGTTTGGGCAAGAGGAAAGCTATGGCCTCAGCTGGAACCTGGGCCAGCTCCTGGGGGGAGGGTGCTCTCCCCTCCACCTGGCTCTCCTGTTCCTCGCTGCCCCAAATTGGCCTCCATGTGGGACTTTCCCCCTTGTCATCCCTTCTCCCCTCCTTCCCTCTGCCAATGACCTTGGGCAAGTCACTTCTGTACCCTTATCTTCCACTTCCTGTCTGTAAAGTGGGATTGTCCTTGTTTCTACCTCCAGAGCTGTTGTTGCAAACATTCAAAGAGAGAAATGACAGATACAGCATTTATCTCTAGACACCTTTGATGCATGCCAGCCCATCTCCAGGACACTCTTCTCACCCACCAGCCCCCCATCCCATCAATCACCACTTCCTGTGGACTTGACTCCTAAATAGCATGGATTATTGTTTTATTTTTTAATGAAATATTTCAAACGCAGTGAAAAATACTTAAAGTAACAGAAGCACCCACTACCTATACACATTAACATTTTGTCATATTTGTTTCAGATCTTTTTCTGACTTACATACATATTTTTGAATTGTGTTGAGTACATACTGAATGCCAGGCACTGTTCTGTGTGGGGGGACACAGCAATGAACAGCATAAAAAATCTAGCTCTTAAGAAGCACATTCTTAAGCTGGGAAGACATGCAATATAGACGTCAGGTGGGTGACAAGAGGGCGAGAACCAGGCAGGGGAGGGCACCCAGAATGGGGGGAACAGGTCAAGGAGGCTTACAGTCGCAAGTGTCATTTAAGTCATGACCAATATGAAGTGAGAGATTTCACTAAGTGAACCCAAGCATTCCAGGCAAGGGAAAGAGCAAGTGCAAAGGTCTTTAGGCAGATGCTTGTTTGATGCGCCTGAAGAATGCCAGCATGTCCTGGGGTGAGAGTCCTCAAAAGAACTGGCTTGCCAGGTACAGAGCCTGCTCAGCCCTGTGCTCAACTCCTGTCCTGAATCATCCCGACATTTTACAGATGAGGAAACTGAGGCCAAAGGTGGGCAAGTGGCTTACCTGGGGTCACCCAGCTAGGAAGGTTGGATGGCTTAGGATTTGAATTCAGACCTCATTCCCACCTCAGACTGGGACAGGGTCCTGGGGTGGCCTAGGAGGAACAAGGGAAAGAGAGGTCACCTCATACAGGAAACATCCGAATGCGGCAGGTCCTCGCTAGCCTGAGGTTGACCTGAGTTTGCAGAAGGGAGCAGCTTCCCTTCCAGTGCTGCTGACCCAGGCAGCCTCCTCCTCCACCCCCAGGACAGGTGTAGGGTGCCTAAGTTCACGGACAACTCCATGCTCACACCCTTGCTTGGGCTCCCCTGAGCTTCCAATTCCTCCCTCAAGCAATGAGCAGACCTGGCCTGGCAGCCTGGCTTTGTCCCCTTGGGCTGCCCTGCTAATCCCAGGCCTGGGCTGCTCCAGCTCAAGGGGAAAGAAGACAGTCAGTGCTCCAGACCCCAGACTGGAGGATGGTCCCCTCCCAGGGGCCATTCCTGCACTCTGCCTGGCTGTGTGGGCTGGCTGGGCCCATCTCTACAGGTCTCAATTTACCCATTTGTACCTCAGTATACCAGCTGACTGTAGCGGGGCTGTATATCAACCTGACTGTAGGGGGCTGGTTGGGCCTCAGAGTCACTTGGGAAAGGCCTGACTGAAAACTCAGATCCTGGGATCCCACACCAAATTCACATTTGGTGGACGTGGAGTCTGTATTGTTAACAAGTGTGGGGGGATTCTGACACTTCAAGAACCCCTACTTGCCAGCAGACCCTTCTCTATCCCTCTACCTGTTTCAAGCCACCTTCCCTGGATCACATGCTTCTGCTGGGCTTCTGTGAGCCCCCATCACAGCACAGTGAACTCATGGTGGCTGTGGTCCCTGCTCAGCTCTGTCCCGCCCCCCAGATTGTGAGCTGAGTGGGGATGCTTATTACCTGCTGACTAAGTCCCATCTCAAAGAATGGAGACTGAGGAAGGGCAGAGACTTGTCCAGGGTGACAGAGAAGAGCTCAAGTAGCTATTAGTAAGAACTCTAATGACAGCTAACACTCACATGGCTCTTCCTGTCTGCCTGGCACAATCCAAGGGCTTTACAAATACTAATTCATTTTGTCTTCACAACGGCCCTTTGAGGTAGGCACTAGTATTATCCGCATTTTTATAGCTTCTAAATTGTGAAGTTGGGATACCAATGAATAGAGAGAGTCCTATCACTTCCCCGCCCTCGTTTTGTGGAAGAGGCACCTGGACCTCAGGTCTTGTCAGTGGATGGATGGCAGGGCAGGGCCCAGAACCCAGGCCTGAGTTACCTGTGCTGAGTGTGGGATGAGTGGTGGGCGAATGGGGCTGACCCCTCAGTCCAGCCAGCTCTGCCCAGGGCTGAAGCCAACAACCCTCTTGCCTTAACCATCTGTCTCAGCATACTCATCTGTAAAACTGAGGTAACACTGACGCCTCCCTTACAGAACTGTTGAGAGCATTACATCAGTTGAAATGAGGGAAGCATTTTGAATAAGTGCATGCCACATATGAGGCACTCAAGCTTTGTTCTCCACATGTTCCCCCTTCTGACCATACTGCTCCATGCCCCACCCCTCTACCAGATCCAGCCCCCCAGGTCAGGGAGGCGCTGAGTAAGGCTGTCATGGGTGGCGGGGGGGGGGGGGAAGCAAGGCCCCTGTTGCTTGGCAGTTGCCCACCTGGGTCAGCAGTCAGGCTGCTTCCTTTGACACAACTGCTGGGGTTAGGACCTGGTGCATCGGCCCCCACCTACGCTTCTGACACCTGGAACCTGCCCAGCCCTTCTTAGCCTAGGGCTGCCTATCTTCAGCCTGGAAAAAAAAGTTCAGCCTCGAGGTCATTGTCCATCCGCTGGAAGGTGGGTGGGGACAAGTCCATTGTCCCCCCGGAGAGTGGAGGCAGGCACAGCCGTGTTTTTACACTGTTCCGGGCAGGGGAGGCCCTTTCCCATCTTAGAAAAGCCCTCATCCAATCTCAGAACCTTCCCGACTGTGTCCTCCTGAGGAAGAGCCACTCTGCTGGGTCTCTGTTCCTGTTTTTGGCTGGTGGAACTCCTAAGAACCCCTTGTACTGTCGCGTAGAGCCTTTTGCGTCAGGTCCTGAGGGATGTGTAGGAGTTCCCCAAGGGCTGTGGGCTGAGGGCCTCCCTAATTCATTTCATCTTGATCACACAGCTGGGGCAACAAGCACGTCGGTGGGAGGCGTTCTGGCACACTGGAGAACAAAGTGGTGTCCCCGGAAACAAACACTGGGCCAGTGGCAAGGATGAGGAAACTGAGGCGGAGGGAGTTGCACCAGTCAGAACTCTTCTAGGGCTGCCTAATTACCTGAGCAAGCACGTCTCTCGCTGGTTGGATGAGGGGAAAGGCATCCATCCAGGTTAGGCAGCACACACCAGCGCCTTCCAAAGCTCGCCCGCCCCTTACCGCCCACGGTGGAACCTTAGCTCGCGGACTACAAGACCCGGCAGGCGCTGCGCCACTGCGCAAGCTCAGCAGACGACCCTTCGAGAGGCTGGAGAACCGTCGGGGCCCTGTCTTTCCACACTGTAAGGCCTGCAGGGGCGGGGCTGATGCCTTGAAGGCGTGCCTATTGGCCGGGTGGTGCGTCAGTCGCGCTCCGTGCCCACCATCCCGTGGAGGCTCCGCCCCTCACGCCCGAGCCGGGCCGCCTGGCGCACCTCTTGGCGCCCCTCCTGCGCTTCTGGACCAGCGGGGCCGTGCGGCGCATCCTGCGGGAGGCACCGGTGGTGGTGGCGGCGGTGGGCGCGGCGCCCGCAATTAAACCCAAGATGATGAAGTTTCGGTTCCGGCGGCAGGGCGCTGACCCGCAGCGCGAAAAGCTCAAGCAGGAGCTCTTTGCTTTCAACAAGGTGCGGCGGTGGCGGCCCGGCTGGGGCTGGGCGGGAGGGTCTGGGCCGGGGCCGGGAGCCCGGGGTTGGAGCCACGTAGGGTCCGAGGGGAGGGAGCGCCCGGCTGGAGCGCGGCGCAGGGCCAGGGCGCTTCTCGGTGAGCCTCACCTCGCGCCTCCGCCCCTGCACCGATCTCTGGGTCTCTCACTGACTTTCCGGGTCTGCTTCTCCGGGTGTCTGTGGGCCTCACCGGCCCTGTCTCTGCAGGTCTCTGTGTCTCTGCCCCTCTCTCTCACTGTGGCCGCCTCTCTGTTCTCAGTCTTTGGCCGTATGTCTGGGGAGGGGTCGTCCCTGCCTCTGTCCCTGCGTATCTCCTCTCTGTTTTTTGTTTTTTTCATCTCTCTGTCTCTCTATTTCTCTTTCTGTCTTTGCATCTCAGTCTTTCTGACTCTGTGTGTCTCTGTTTGGGTCTCTGGAATTCTCACTCTGTTTCTTACTATCTTTTTATTCCTCTTTGGGGGCTCCTGCACATCCCTGTCAACCCTTGGGGCAGCCCAGGGCTGGGGTTTGTTTTGCTTTCACAATCAGATTGGGAGAGAGGAGTGAGGAGAGGAGGCAGATGTTGCGGGGTGGAACTGGGAAATCCCTTCCAGGTTCCTTTCTTCCCTCTTCCAGGGCTTTAGAGTCTGTCTTGCTCTGCTCTGCCCTGCCCTGCTCTGCTCTGGGGTGGGCTCCAGGGGAAATGCCTAGCTGTGTACCCAGCAGCACATCAGGTGCCTCAGTTTCCCTTGAAATGCAGACACTTTCCTCCCTGCTGTGGACTCTAGCTTCCTGTGTCACTTGGGCCCTGCAGCCTAGACAGAGGTGTGGTTGGAGCACTGCCTCTCCTTTCTTTCCTATTTCCTAGAGCAGTGGTGGGAAAAGGGCTGCCCTCAGTCACCGCCCCCTCTGCACTGAAGTGTGGTAGGTAGAGTCCCCAGTGTGCCCCTTGGTACCTACTCCCAGGGTGTCAGGTCTAGCCTCAAAGCCCTCGGATTGCACAGTGCCTCCCTCCTCATGGGGATCTGAGTTGTTGGCCCCATCACACAGGTTAGAAAATTGAGGTTGAGATGGGGTGGTGACTTGCCCTAAGTCACAGATGGAGTTGGGTCACTTTGTCCTTGCTTCCCCTTATTGGTAAGGATTTGACTTTAGTTTCGAGGGGCAGCTGTGTTCCAAGAGGAGACTCGTCTAGGAGAAGGCTCTGGGATGGCTGGGCCTGGAGTGGCTGAGGCACCAGGACATTTCTTGGGGCAGGCTAGATTTTTGAGGTGGTGGGGGATGCTGCCAGGACCCTCAGATTTAGTTGCCAAGAACCTACCAGAAGCCTGCAGAGCCTGGAGGAAAGGGGCTTCCAGATGGCTCCCTTCCTGTGCTGGTGGCTAAGAGGATGAGCCCTATGAGGTGAGAGAAGGGTGGTGGGGGCAGGCACTGGGCTAAGGTGTCATTTTCTCAGCCAGTGAGTTGGGGTGTGAAGTGGGGGCCTGCAACAGATGGTGGGGAGGGACTGAGGCTCAGCGCCCCTTGGCTGGCCGTAGTTTGGCAGAAGGTGAGGGCTCCCCATTAAGGAGAGTGAGGCTCCATTCTGTATGGGCAACAATGATGGGAGGGGGGTGGTCTTGGGCAAGGGTCTTGCTCACCAGAGAGGGTGGTAGGTGGTCACTAGTGACTAGATCCCAAAATAATATTTAAAAAGAGAGAGAGAAAGAATAGATCCTAGTTTCTCTAGTGCAGGTGGGAGGAGGGGTCAGGGGCGAACATGAACTTTGGACTTAGTCTTGGGCCCACACCCTAGCCCCATCTTCATGTTGCCTGCAAGATGTGTGCCCCATGTCAGCAAATACTGAGCACCTCCCGTGCATGAGTTCTTGTAGGTGCTTGGAACACTGCAGTGACCAAGAGGGACAAACACATCACTTGGGCTGATGTCTTAGTGAGGGAGACAGTGAAAAGTAAACAAAAGAGTAAAATATGCAGCAGTTTGGGTGGTGGCCAGTGCTGTGGATAAAATTAAGTAGGGTGAGGGCCTGGAGCCCGTGGACAGGGATGGCTGCTGTGGCCAGGGTGGCTTGGGGGCTCTCGTAGGAGCTGACTCCTAAACTGAGACCCGAGTGATGGGCAGAAGCCCGCCCTGGGGAGCACTGGTGAGGTGCATTCCAGGCAGAGGGGTAGTAGCAACAAAGGGCCTTGAGGCAGGAACCTGCCCAGTAGATTGGAGATGAAAATGCAGTGGGCCTGGAGTCAAGTGAGCTGGGGAGAGAGTAGGAGGAGGCCAGATGTGAGAACTCGGCTTTGACTCAGAGTTAGCTGGGAGCCCCAGGGGATGGGGACAGGTTCCTGAGCAGAGGAGGGTCTGGCCATACCCGGTCAGGCCCAGCATTGGCATGGCAGTACGGGTGGGACAGGGAGGCCCCTCCCACTCTCAGCCAAATGAGCAGCTGTGTCTTCTGGTGGACTCACTGCCCCCGGTACCCAGATGGAAAACTGAGACTTGAAGAGAGCTGTGACTCTCCTAAGGCCAAGCCAGCTGTCCAGGGGGCTCAGTCCCTGCCTGGATGGGCCGAGGCAGGAGGGAGGCTGGGCGACAGGATGGGGACACATTACAAAACATGTGTCCCTGCTGAGGCAGTGGTCAAGAGGTACCTGAGGTGTACCGGTGGTTTACCACATTGGTGTTGAGGATGTGGGGTGTAGGCTTCCCAGGGCGGGGCTTCCCAGCTAAGCCTTGGGAGTGTATGAACTTTTTGGGTGGGTGGGCAATGGAGGAAAGCCCAGGCTGGGCTGGTGGGGCTGGAGCAGTCTGTACCAGGACTGGCCCTGCCAGGAGCAGAGGTCCAGGTGGCAGCCAACCCATTAATACCACCAGCACATGGACTCCTTCACGCCATCCTCACCCCCAATGGGGGAAAAGAATCATGTCATTCAATTTCCATCAGGGGAACCCAAGTCTGGGAGGTGGGTGACGCCTTCAGGGACTGGGCAGGAAGCTCCTCTGGCCCTCTGTCTCCCTGTGTGACTATGGGTTGAGGTGAGGGGTACCTCTTGAGGGGAGTGGGTGTCAAGATCCTCTGCATGGAAGAGTATTGAGTGTTGGTGTCTGACTTCTATGTGGGAACCTGTGTGGGGAATGCCACCAACCTCGCAGGGCACACTGGATAGCTTGGCGCCTCACCAAGCCTCAGTCGACTTCTAGGACTGGGGTGCAGAGCGTCCCTTGGGGCAGGTGAGGTCCACTTCTGAACCTTGTTCTCCCTTTCTGTGCTAGAACCCTGCACACAGTGGGATGAACACGGGTGCTGAGAGGGATGGGGACTTGGCCTGGGTCTCTGCTGGGCCTAGGGGCTCAGACCCTTCTGTACCAACTGGAGGTGAGATTGTCCATTTCACAGTTAAGGACACGGAACACAGGTGGACCCAGCTTGAGTCCCAATGTATAGCAGCAGCAGAGCCTGAAGGCTGCCTTGGGGTGGGCCTCAGGGTGGGCCGGGAGCAGCCGTGCTTGTGCAAGTGCCCTCCCCTTTCTCACAGACTGTGGAACATGGCTTCCCCAACCAGCCCAGCGCCCTGGCCTTCGATCCTGAGCTTCGCATCATGGCCATTGGCACCAGGTCTGGGGCCGTCAAGATGTATCCTTTGCGGAACGCATCCTTGGGGACTGTGAGGACTGCCTTCTTGCACCTTCCTGTGTGCTGAGCTCCTTGGGTAGGGCCCAGCCTGCGAAGCCATGCACAAGTGTCTGGATCCTGGTGGGAGCTGGTGCAGCTTCTGCCCTAAGATACCTCCTCACAGAGATCATGGAGTGGGGCTGAGCTTACAGTGGTCACAGCTGTCCCTTGCTGCACTTCAGCCAACAGGGTGGCCAGGGCAGGGTGCTGGTCAGTCTCGGGACCTGTCAAGGTTGGTGGATGCACCAGGGTCATACGGTGGGCCTTTCCCTGGTGACCGGGCACACATATGTGTATGAATGTGAGGTACATGTGTTCAGCCAAGGGGCTGGGGGCAGTGCCAGGCTCAGCATGGAGAGTACAGCTCAGGCCCCACCTGGATGCTGGCGGTTGCACAATGGGCCGTGTGTGCTGCACAAAGCGGCATTTTCTCTGGAAGCCTGAGGTGGGGTGGGGCAGGCAGACAGCTGAACGCCTTCCTGCCTGGTGTGGAGCATCCCACCTCCACTGCCCGCAGCGAGCCCCCTGCCACTCAGGGGAACCGAGGTGCAGAGCGTCTGGTGGCTACTTGGTGTAGGGTGCCTGCCTCCACCCCTCCCCACATGACCCTCTGGGTCGTCGCTGTCCTCATCAGGGTTATCAGATGGCACAAAATGAGTAAATGCCTGTAAAGCAGAGGGGAGGGAAGGGGTGGGCATCGGGGCCTGCAGTCGGTGAGCTTTCCTGCGCTAGGGAAGTGCAGAGGGTATGGCTGGGCTGGCTGGACACTCCCTCCCCCCACTGACCACAACCACAAGACCACACCAGGGCCACCTCCTTCATGGCCTGCTGCTCCCACTCCTGGAGGTGCTGTCCTGTCTCACACACGTGTTGTGTTGCTGTAGTTGGTATCTCGTACTGCCCTGTCCCGTAAGGCTCTGTTAGCCTCTTGAGCTGGCCTTCCTGCTGTCCTGGTCTTTCCCGGGCACTGGCTCCTCCGGCTTACAAAGAACTGTTGTACAGACTAGGAGAGCCTCAGTGGAGGCCAGAGCTCTCCCTTGGCCCCTCCCTCCTCCCCCCAAACCACCCCTAGGCTGGGAAACTGAAGCTTGAGAAGGCCTTAGACAAAAGCTGCCCCTCCCCCATCTCCTTGGTGACTTTGGTTCCTACCCAGCACTCCTGCCCCCTGTTTTGTCCTGTTCTGTGTTCTCCCAGCTCCTGCAGGGCATCCCAACTCCAGCTCCAAGCAATGGCTTGGCTCCTGCTTTGTCCCTAGGCAACACTGCTGACCCCTCCCTTACCCCATCTCCAGGGCTCCCTAGGCCCTGGCTGTCCACTGTCAAACCTGGAATTGCTGGGACTCTGATACTGATGCCAGGCACTTGAGGCAGGTCACCCATCCTCTCTAAGCCTATGCTTGCTAGTTTGTGAAACGCACAGGCCTCGGCCTCTCCTCTCTCTTGGTGGGACTGCTGGGGAGGCTGGTTTCCTTCCCATGGCTGGTGTTGGGCCTGGAGCTGTGCACAGTGGCGGCCTGGGCTCCCCTCTGTCTATGGCTTCCCTTGCCAGGTCCTGGCCAGGCCTCTCCGCCTGTGCAACATGCCCGTGGGGCCGGCTCTTGTGCACAGGCACACATGAAGCTGGTGCAGGGTGGAGCCCCAGATGGGCACCAGAACTGAGCCATGTGTGCTGAGTGTGTTTTAGTCTCACTTGCCCTGTGTCAGCCCTGTGAGGTGGGAGTCCCTGTCTCATTTTAAAGATGACGAAGTGAGGGTCATGCCACAGCATGACTTACAGGAACCAATTGGAGCCTGCATTCTGAGCTTGAGGATAACTTGGGGGTGCTGAACAGTGTTTCTTTAGGGAGGGGGACCCATCTGAACTCGGAGGGCTCCCTGATAGGCAGGCCTGGCTGGGACCTGTCAGAATGGTCCTGGAGAAGGAGGAGGCTTGAGCATCTCAGCCTGTATCTGCTGCTTCTACCCTTGACCCACCCTCAGCTATGGTGCACCTGGTGTGGAATTTACGGGCTTACACCGAGACATGGCCACAGTCACCCAGATGCACTTCCTGCCTGGCCAGGTAAGCCTCTGCCGCCACTGTTTGGCTCTTTTGAGGCCCCAGGTTCCCCCTCTCCATCCCACCAGCCCAGTCCTGGTCTCTGCTCACCCACCAGGGCCGCCTCCTGACCCTGCTGGATGACAGCAGCCTGCATCTCTGGGAGATTGTCCACCAGAATGGCTGTGCCCACCTGGAGGAAGCGCTCAGCTTTCAGCTGCCCAGTCGGCTGGGCTTTGATGGTGCCAGGTACTGGGGGACTTGGCCACTGTCCGGCTGCTCCCATGTAGCTTTGCAAAGGCATGGTGGGAGGATGGGAAGCTGCTTTGGGGGCTGGGGTTCAGGGTGGTGGGCCTGGGTCCCAGAAAGCAGCGTTTGGACCCCTTTTCAGTGAGATGTGCTGTGTGGACTTGGTGAGTGTTAGAAGGGGAGGTCCAGCTGAGCCTGAGGTGAGCAGGCGGGGTTTGTGTTGCATAAGCACTGGAACACAAGCAGGTGCAGGACGGGAGGTTGTGTGTTGTGTCCCAGGCTTCTCACGCCTGGTGGGCAGGCCTGCACTTTCTGTAGTGGTGGAGGTGTCCAGGGCAGGGCTAAGCTGAGCTGACATCAGCAAGGATCCCTTGGTGTCTCTAGCTGGGCGTGGGGCGACTGGCTATAGTATGCACAGTGAAAGGGCAAGTTTGGATGTAAGGGGGTTCCTGCCATGCTGTGCTGTGTGAGGTGCTGACAGGATGGTCCAGGGGACAAGGGAGTGTTCTGGATCTCTGGCAGGAGTGTAAGGGGCATCCCGGTCCCTGGCCCCACTGGCTCTGGCTGAGATGGCCAGAGTGGGTGAGTCCTTCATGCTGCAGAATGCTTGTCCCCAGCTCAGTGAGATAGGCTTGTGTTGCTGCTGCTGAGGGCTGGATGACAGCCCCATCCATCCCTTGCCCAAGGGTGGATGACTGGGTCTCCCAGCCTTTGCAGGCAGGGGTGATCTGGGGATCCCCTAAAAAGTTAGGGAGACCCCCAGAGGGCTGGTGGGGTTCTTGGGCAGGGCTCAGGAGAGTCGTATGTCCTTGGCCTCCTGGGCCTGGCCTGGGTAGTAGCCTGGTTCCTGCCTTTTCCTCCTGGTTGGTGGGAGGAGCTTGGGAGCCCATCTCCGAGACCTGAGGAACCTATATTTATTCCTCTCCCCACTGACATCCTGATGAATAATTGAGCAAGTTAATTATAATGCCACTACTGTTGCCTTCGCCAGCCTACTGGATAGTCAGGGTCCAGTGAGTACAGAGGGGCCGTAATGAGCTACCAGCAGCTCATCAGCACCCTCTGCATCCTCCTCAGCAGGTGGATGGGCCCACCTCCTCACACACCTCCCCTTGTCTCTCACAGTGGCCCGCCCACCCTTGCCCACATCACAGTGGTGCTACTGGTGGCTGCTGGCAACATGGCAGCTCTGGGCACTGAAGGTGGCAGTGTCTTCTTCCTGGATATTTCCACCCTGATGCTGATCGAGGGTCAAACCCTGGGCCCTGATGAGGTTCTTCGAAGGTGAGAGGCAGGCAGACTTCCCACACCCATCCTGTGCCTGGGCAGTGCTCCTGCTGGCTCACCTGTGCTCCCTCTGCAGTTTGCCAGATGACTACCGGTGTGGGAAGGCACTGGGCCCTGTGGAGTCCCTGCAGGGACACCTGCGGGACCCCACCAAGATCCTCATTGGCTACAGCCGGGGCCTGCTGGTCATTTGGAACCAGGCCGCACAGTGTGCAGACTGCATCTTCCTAGGGAACCAGGTGTGTGTGGGAGGCCAGAGTCCATAGCCCGGGCCTGCTGCTCCTGGCTGCCTTGCTCATGCCTGTCTGCCCTGCCCCACAGCAGCTGGAGAGCCTGTGCTGGGAGCGCAGTGGCAGCACGCTGGTCAGCTCGCACAGCGACGGCAGCTACGCTGTCTGGTCTGCAGACACTGGCACCTCCCCAGTGATGCAGCCTATGGTAGCCACCATGCCCTACGGTGAGTGCTGACCAGGGTGAGGGTGGCCCTGTTGCCCGAGTGTAGGTTTTGACAGGTAACCCCAAGCATAGGCACCTAACGGCTTCCTGGCTTTAGTGGGGGCATCCAAGAGGAGTTGGGGAGGGTGGCAGAGCCAGGCCAAATCTGCAAATGTGGGACCTGCCCTAGGGGGTGTGTGGTTGGGGCAGCACTCTTTTTCTTGGGGAGGCAGGAAGCATCTCTGAGGTGGGGAGTGATGTGGGCAAGATGAGAGAAGGGGTGAGAAATTTGACCATCAGCTCTTTGGGTCCTGGCAAGCAAATGAGCCTGACACTATCCCATTTCTCCAGGACCCTTCCCTTGCAAAGCCATCAATAAGATTCTGTGGCGAAGCTGTGAATCTGGGTAGGTGGGGAGCTGGGCTCAGGCGCGGGTCAGGGGCTATGTCTGGCTGGGAGCAGAGGATGGGTCTGGGGGTATAGGGATGTCCTGTGATCTCTCTCTGGGGTGTGCAGGTGTGTGCTCCAGGCCCAGGTGACTCACATGCTCCCTGGTCCCTGTATAGGGGCCACTTTATCATCTTCAGTGGTGGCATGCCTCGTGCCAGCTATGGTGATCGCCACTGTGTCAGTGTGCTCCGGGCTGAGACACTGGTGACACTGGATTTCACCTCCCGCATCATTGACTTCTTCACGGTGCACAGCACGCGACCTGAGGACGGTGTGTTGACTTCCCCAACCCTGTACCGGGCACTGCCTGTGGCCGTGCTCCTCACCCTGCCCCTGTCCTGCAGAGTTCGATGAGCCCCAGGCTCTGGCTGTGCTGCTTGAAGAGGAGCTGGTGGTGCTAGACCTGCAAGTGCCTGGCTGGCCTGTTGTGCCTGCCCCATACCTGGCCCCCCTGCACTCTTCTGCTATCACCTGCTCGGCCCACGTCGCCAATGTTCCTGCCAAGCTGTGGGCCCGCATTGTGAGCGCTGGCAAGCAGCAGAGCCCCCAGCCTGCCTCCAGTGCCTTGGTGTGTACCTGGGCACCTTGCAGGGTAGTGCCTTGGGGAGGGCAGGTGTTCCCTGTGAAGGGCGCTTCCCAGACACAGGCCCTGGGAATGTGGCATTTGTGCACTGGAGACTCAGAAGCAGTTGGGGTCCTTGATGCCAGGTCCAGGGTGAGAGGGAAAAGACGTGTGTGCTGAGCTTCTGCTGACATCTCCACCTCCTCCCCCAGAGCTGGCCCATCACCGGGGGCCGGAGCCTGGCCCAGGAGCCGTCTCAGCGAGGGCTGCTGCTCACTGGGTAGGGTGGACCTATGAGTCCCATGGCTAAGCATAGTCGTGACATGTATGTGTGCGTGTGTGCGTGGGCGAGTGGGGCCTGGTGCAGCCCGCACAGGTGCAGGAGAGATCAGCCTGGGCCAGGTGGGTGCTGGCCTGCTCAGTGACTCAGGCCTGGTCCCTGAGAGGACCTGGTTGACCCCTGTAGTAGGGTGGGTTGGGCTTGTAGCTTCACTCGACCCTGGTTTAAGCCACTCCCTGTCCTGCCTTTTGGCCTGGAACTGAGCTCCACTCACCCAGCCTGCCCTAGGACTGGAAAATCTGGGCTGGCCCATGCAGAGCTGCCCAGGGCAGGTGCTGGAGGGCCTGGGCTTGGCGGGTGCTGACGTGCCCAATGACTCAGGCCCTCACTTCCTGCCCTGCCCCTGCTGCTTGCTTGTGCTAGAATCTTGGAGCCTCTGGCTCTACTCCCACTCTCCTGCTTAAAAATGTTGCCATGGCCTTCAGGGCTGCTGGAGGCTTCCCATCCAGCCTGCAGCCCCACAGACTCACACTTCTTATGCCTGGCTTTTCATCTGAGTCAGCACCCCAGATGGACCTGCCTCTCTTCCCTTCCTCCCCTTCTGCGGCCTCGTGCCCCAGCTGATCCCTGTTCTGTGACTGGCTAACTCCTGACCACCTTTTATAGATGGCCTAGTGGGTGCAGAACCTCTTAGTCTTTTGTTCCTTGGGTTACCCTCTTTTCCATTTCCTGTTCATCGCACTGGTGAGTGTTTCCCCACCTCTCACTCTGTTTGACAGGCCCGTGTTCATGTGGCCTGGCATACAGTAGGTGCTAAGTATGTCATTGCCCTAGTCCGTAAGTGCTTCCTATTTGCCATATACAGTAGTTCGGTCAGTGTCTGGCTTATGCAGTAGGTGCTCAGTGAGTGGTCACTGGATGAATGGATGGAGGAATGTGCAGGGTTCTGGTGTGGGCTTGATGTCTTACCCCTTGCAGCCACGAGGATGGCACTGTGCGGTTCTGGGACGCCTCTGGTGTGGCACTGCAACCACTCTACAAGCTGAGCACAGCTGGCCTCTTCCAGACAGACTGTGAGCACGCTGACAGTCTGGCCCAGGCTACTGAGGATGACTGGCCACCCTTCCGCAAGGTGGGCCCCTCCCCCTCCCCCGAGGAGCCCGGTCCTGGCTCTGCCCTGTGTCATCCCTCCATCCCACTCCCCAGGTGGGCTGCTTTGACCCCTACAGTGATGATCCTCGGCTAGGGGTGCAGAAGGTGGCACTTTGCAAGTACACAGCTCAGATGGTGGTGGCTGGCACTGCGGGCCAGGTAAACCTGGGATGTTCCCAGGGTTGGGGTTTTTGGAGGGGTTTTTGGAAAAGGTGGGACTGAACTGGAGGGTCTGGTGAAGTGGGAGGGGGACAGGCATGGGCAAAAGCCCAGAGGTAGGAATGGGGTCCCAGGTTGGGCTGGCTTGGGTGAGGCCAGCAAGGAGGTGGGCCTGTTGTTAGGGCCAGGACTGGAGCAGCACAGGTATTAGATGAGCCCTGGGAAGGCAGGGGCCAGCGGGCCTGGGTCAGTGCTGCTCCTCCAGCACTTGGAGAGTGTACAGAAGGTGCTTTGTGTGTGCTTACTCTAAGTGGGAGACGGTGTGGCAGGGGAGTACTTTGTTCTAGCAGACAGAGGCCCGTGAGTCTTGGTCACCACTGGGTTCCTCAGCGCAGGTTCTAGTATATAGTAGGCATTCGGTAAGTACTTACTCAGTGGATAAACTGGAGACAATTCTGGGGCGTCCCTGGCAGTGGCTTTGCAGGCTCAGGTGGGGCACGGGCGGCCCCATCCTCTATGCTGACCTCTCTCCTGCCTGGCTGTGGGCTCAGGTGCTGGTGCTGGAGCTCAGTGATGTGCCGTTGGAGCAGGCAGTCAGTATGGCCAGCGTGGACCTCCTCCAGGACCGAGAAGGCTTCACATGGAAGGGGCATGAGCGGCTGAGCCCACGCACAGGGCCCCTGCCCTGGCCTGCTGGCTTCCAGCCCCGAGTGCTCGTTCAGTGCCTGCCGCCTGCCGCCGTCACTGCGGTCACGCTGCACACAGAGTGGAGCCTCGTGGCCTTTGGCACCAGTCATGGCTTTGGCCTCTTTGACTACCAGTGCAAGAGCCCTGTGCTGGCCAGGTGTGTAGGGGCGGGCTGTAGCCAGGCAAGGTGGGGGCTGCGCTTCCACCCAGCGCCTGCCTCCTGTGGGACTTCTGGTATATGCCCTCTGCCGCCTAGGCCTCAGTGTTCCCCGTAAGACTGGGTGTGATGAAGGTGGCTCTGTTGCATTTGTCAGCTTCGACTTTATGTGAAGTGCTGCGGGTAGAGTTCTAAGCCTACCAGCTGCTGGCTTGGCAGGGCAGCAGAAAGGGTCTTGGACTTTTGACCTGGGACCTTTGATGCCCCTGGGGCCAGCAGGAGCACAGGGCCTGTTCCAGGAGGCTGCTTCATGGCACAGCTGGTGCCTGTCTGCCCCCAGGTGCACGCTTCATCCCAATGATTCGCTGGCCATGGAGGGGCCACTCTCCCGGGTGAAGTCACTCAAGAAGTCACTGCGCCAGTCTTTCCGGCGCATCCGCAAGAGCCGAGTTTCAGGCAAGAAGCGGGCTGCTAATACCAACAGCAAGGTGAGGTGGGGCCAGGCTGGCAGGCAAAATCTCCATAGGCTATAATGTAGAAGTGGAGCCAGGTTTGGGCCCTAATTCGGAGCCCTGTGTGTGTTCACCGTCTGTTGCCCACCCCTCAGCATTCCCCAGCCCCTGGATGGATCAGAGTGAGCTGGGGAGGGTGATGGGGTGCTGGGCCGTGTGGAAGGAAAAAGGCAGTGTCCAGGAGCCCCGCACTTCTCCAGTTGCAGGAGGCCAATGCGCACCTGGCAGAACAGGCCTGCCCCCATGACGTGGAAATGATGCCTGTGCAGCGACGCATTGAGCCGCGTTCGGCTGATGACTGCCTCTCCGGCGTAGTGCGCTGCCTCTACTTCGCTGACACATTTCTCCGAGATGGTAGGCCCAGGGAAGGGACGGGTTGGAGAAAATGGACTTCAGTTGGCCTCCAGGAAATGGGCAGGGGCAGGGGGAGGGGAGGCAGCATCTTCTAGGGGTTGGACAGCATTACTGGGTGCTTCCTGTGTGTTGCACTGGCAACAGGCTGCCCTGCACCAGAACAGCTCCCCTGCAGTTTCTGGTGACGCAGGGCTGGTGAGTGGGCCAACAGGACCTCGAGATCTGAAGCTCAAGATGGAAGGGGGAGGAGAGTATGGGATCTGCCAGTGCCAGGGCCCTGGGTGGGCTGGGAGGCAGCCCGCAGTGAAGGGAAAGGGCACTGGGGGCTGCTGGTACCGTCTGCCTTACTAAGGAGTTGGCTTTGACCCCAGGTGGTCAGGTTTATTCAGTAATTCATTCATTGATTTTTAGCTTGTAGACTTTCAACCACACACCAATATAAATAGTCACACCCTCTCCCCCCCCCCTCAGCTGGAGCTGCTGTCACTGTGTACTCTGTTGTTTACCTTTACCTTGCTGGAGCACTTCAGTTTGTGTGACAGATGTAACCTCCAGCCACAGCGCCTGCATTGCACCCTTCAGAGCTGACACTGATCAGAGAGTCTTGTCACACTTGGCCCACAGGTGGCTCTCTCAAAATGCCTTCTTACGGTTGCTGCTGGGTCACCATCCAGCAGTCCACACGTGGTATTTCACAGCTGTTAGTCTCTCACAGCTGTTAGTCTCTGCGTCTGAGGGAGGGCCCCCTTGTGGTATTGTTTGTTGAGGGTCCTTTACCCAGTGGGTTTTCCCACTGTTTGGATGTAGCAGCCCTAGGAGCCTGTACCTTATTCCATGCTGCCCAGTCTGTGTGAGAAGGCCCATGGGGCTCAGTCCGCAGCTGCCTGAGCATCAGGTGTCAGCTGTGTGAGGTGCTCATTGACTTGTTGCTGGGGCTTGGCTGCCCTGGTGGTTGTTGCCAAGGTCCTCCATTTACCCAGGGCACACAGCCATGACTGCTTGGGCCCACCTTGGCTCTTGGCTTTTTAGCTCTGATTCTCCACTAAAGGGTCTTCTCCAGAGGTTTAGCTCACACGGGGAGGTAGGTGAGACAGCTCAGTTCATTTCAGCCCAGGGCTGGACTCCGTGTCTGACTGCCACACGGAGGACACACTGAAAGAAGCAGGGATGTGGTCGGAACCCTGGTGCACCTTTGGGGCAGCTATTCGAGTGGAGTGTACCGACAGGACTGGTGATGGGCTGTGGGGGATGGAAGAGTTGGGGATTTGTGATGGAGCTGAGGGTGCAGTAGAATGGGGTTGCAGAGATCAGGGTCCAGTTAGTGCTGTTGCTGTCCCTGCAGAGATACCTGAGAGGCTGTTTCTGCCTCTTCAGGAGAGCTGCACCACAGCTGATTTTGGTCAGCAGTGTAGGGAAGGTGCCTAAAACCACAAGAAGTGGGACAGAAGAGAACCAGTCCTGGGTTTCAGAGTGTCAGCAGGGGGGAGGAACCTGTGGTAAATGGGCAGACACCTGCCTCACCAGCCTCTTGCCCTACAGCGGCCCACCATGGACCCACCATGTGGGCAGGCACCAACTCGGGCTCCGTGTTTGCCTATGCACTGGAGGTGCCAGTAGCAGTGGCAGGCAGCGAGAAGCGGCCCGAGCGGGTGGTGGAGGCTGTGCTGGGTAAGGAGGTGCAGCTGATGCATCGCGCACCTGTGGTGGCCATTGCCGTGCTGGATGGGCGTGGCCGCCCACTGCCCGAGCCCTACGAGGCCTCTCAGGACCTGGCACAGGCACCAGACATGCAGGGTGGCCATGCAGTGCTCATCGCATCTGAGGAGCAATTCAAGGTGAGCTGCTCTGGAGACTTCCTCCAGGCTCCCACCTCCTAGATACACTGGACCCCCTACCACCCCTTCCCTGCCTGCTGAGAACCTCCCTCCAAGACCTCACCCAGCCAGTAGAGGTGCCCCTGAAAAACCCTGATGACTCCCTCAGCTTGCTGTATTTCTGTAGGACTCTCCCCCGAGTCCACACCAGACCCCTTGAACACCCGCAGGGCTCTGTCTGGCAGGAAGTCATGGTGTGGGGGGGGACTCCAGCCGTCTAACCCTTATAGCTGTGTGCCTGGTTTTGCCAGGTACTCAGGAGGGGGCCTGGGAGGTTCTTGGGAGCAGAGTGAGGCCCAGGTCAAGTCTGAGGGTGGCAGCCCAGGGTGGGAGGGGATTCAGGCAGCAGTGGTAGTGTGGCTAGGGGCACAGGCCTGTGTGACAGGCTGGGCTCCAAATAGCGGCTGGGGGCATGGGTAGGATCAGGCTATGCTCACTGGCCACCTGCATTCCCAGGTATTTACACTACCCAAGGTGAGTGCCAAGACCAAGTTCAAGCTGACAGCCCACGAGGGCTGTCGTGTGCGCAAGGTGGCACTAGCCACATTTGCTAGTGTGGCCTGTGAGGACTATGCTGAGACCTGCCTGGCCTGCCTCACCAACCTGGGGGACGTGCACATCTTCTCCGTGCCGGGCCTGCGCCCCCAGGTGCATTACTCCTGTATCCGCAAGGAGGACATTAGCGGCATCGCCTCCTGTGTCTTCACGCGCCACGGCCAGGGTAAGGCAAAGGTTTTTAGGTGCAAGGGACCCAGGTGGACCCTGGAGAGTTCCCAGGCAGTGTCAGCAGAGGGGTGGTCCAGGTTGGGGGGCACAGCACTGGCCAGGGTTGGGGAGGGCCAGGCAGTGTGTGCATGGCAGAGACTGGCTCTTGGGCTGTGGTTGGAATCATGTCTCCTAAGTGCCGTTTTCCTTGTCTCCCACCCACCCAGGTTTTTACCTTATTTCCCCATCGGAGTTTGAGCGCTTCTCCCTAAGTGCCCGGAACATCACAGAGCCACTCTGCTCTCTGGACCTCAGCTGGTCCCATGGTGCTGCCCGTGCCAGGTGTGTGTAGGGGTAGCCCCTGGCTTGGGAGGCCTTCACCCAAGGCCAAGGTCATCCCCACACCCCTATTATTGTGCCTGGAGCAAGGGTGGCCCTTTAGGTGCTTGCCTGTGACCCTGCCACGGCCCTGTCTCTGCAGCTACAGTCTCCAAGAGTCGCCCAAGCTGAGCCAGGCTAACGGGACCCCAGGCATCATCCTGGCGCCGCAGAGCCGTGATGGAAGCCCTAATCCTGTCCACAGCCAGGGAGCTGGTGAGGGGCTGATTGGGATGATGGGACACATATCAGCCCAGATGTCAGTGCAGGCCTCTGCAAGAGGCAGCAGCTGAGCCAAGGCCAGAAGTCTGGGGAGGGGTGGGGTGTGCCGGGCAGGAGAGGGGTTTGGGACTGGATCCCCAGGTACAGAGGGTGTTCAGGGTCTCACAGAGATCTGACCATCTCCTCCCTGCAGACACCCCTGAGCTGCCTGAGGCTGCACTCTCACCTATGTCCATCGACTCAGCCACCAGTGCAGACACAACTCTGGACACAATAGGGGACATCACAGTGGAGGACGTGAAGGATTTCCTGGGGTGAGGTGGGCGGGCAGGATCCCCAGCCTCCCTCCCCCACCATAAAGCAACCTCCTGTCCGAGCTGGGTGTGCAGAATCTAGAAGGGGGCCATGCTCCAGACCCTGATACTGTCCCTTTTCCCTAGCACTTCAGAGGAATCTGAGAAGAATCTGAGGAACCTGGTAGAAGATGAGGCTCGAGCCTGTGCCATCCTGATAAAATGAGGTGCTGCAAGTCTGGGGGATCCAGCTCTACCTGGCTCTTAGCCTCAACCCCGGTCCCCCACACCCACCCTGGTTTCACACCTGAAATCATAGCAGGTCGTGTACTGATATCATTTCCTTGAGGCCTGGCTGCTGCCCAGGTGTGCCTGGCAGAGGCTTGGGGGGTCCACACAGACAATCCCTATAATTCGATATTAAGGAAAAAAGAGCCAGCCCATTAGCCTGCAGATGTCATAGGTGGCATTTCGAACAGAGGTGGGGCAGTCTGGGGCTTGTGCTGCTTTGGCCAGCTCATTTCAGATGAGAGCACCCAGGCACAAGGCTGGGCCCTCCTTGGTAAGCCTTGAGAATGGGGCCTGGCCACCACTCCAGTCTCACTGTGGCTCCATGCCCAGATCTGGGGTCCATAAGTCTGTCCAGCCTATTTGCTACCTAGGGCCCCTATCCACACAACCAGGCAGACACCCCAGCTGTCTTGCTGGGGACACCCTGGCCACAATGGGCAGGATATGGTCAATGGTCAGACTTGACCAGTCATCCTCAGGCTGTGAACTGTGGGGCCCTCATCCCAAATGGGTGGGACCTTTTCGCCTGACCTGGAGAGGAGGCTGAGTGGTGGCACCTGAGTAGCCTCTTTTGGGCTCCCTGGCCTTCTCTGACCCTTTTTCTTCCTTTACCAGGAAGGCCAGAACCACCTGGCCACCACCTGCCTTGCTTGGAGCTGGTATCCAGGACTCCTGGCTCTTCCCAGCCCTTCACATAGACCTATGCCTGGTAACCTGTAGGCTCCAGTGACACCCACCCACCCTAGCACCAGGGTGTGGTCCTGGAACTCGGGGGTGTACTGGGACTGGCCCCTTCTATAGGCAGTACCCTGGAGGCCAGGTGCCACAGGGCAAGGACAGGTGGGGCACACAGCCCATGCCACCTCCCACTCTACCTTGCTTCCCCTTCTTTTTGCAAAGAATATTTTTCTAATGTCTGGACTGGACAGTGCCAGGCTGGACAGTCACTTCTAAAACTATTTTGGTACTTGCTCCCGGGCTAACATGTCCCCCAACCCCCAGCTTGGACATGAAATGTGTGTGAGTGAGTGAGACTGGGAGCCACCTGGGCGCCCTAGACAGGCCTGTCAGGTGTGTGTGTGGGGGGTGTCAGATGGGTCTTCCCTGTAGATTGTACCTTGGGGATTTTTCTGTCATTTTAACACTACCACTGTTTTAATACTAAAAATGCTGATTTTTAATATTGAAAATAAAAGCATTTAATATCTCTTAAAGGACAACCACATCTGCTTTATCCCTGGCAGAGAAGGGGTATCACACATGAGCTCACACCGGACGGAGTCTGGCCGCCAAGAACCCTTAGGGCACTAGGCAGCGTTACCGCCGTTGGTGGTGCTTGGGCTATGCTGCTGAGGATGCTGGCACTGGGGGATACCCAAAGCAGGGGAAGCCACCTGCACGTAGCCTCCTTTGGCAGGTGGTAGGTGAAGAGAGACCCTTCTCCCCCCTCACCCAGAGCTTGGGGTTCCCGTGGGACCCTGCATTCACCCTAGGCCAGGGCCTCTCGGAAGGTACTCCAGGCATGGAAGCAGCGAGTGAAGGCGTGCTGCTCATTCCCCTTACGGACCAGGCGTAGACGGCGGCGCTGCTCGTGCTCTTTAGCGCGTAGATGCTGGATGTACACCTGGTGAGCAGGATGTGTGTGTGTGAGCCTCTGGCCAGCCTTCCAGGTTCCCAGGTCAGCCTCAGTCCTCCTCTCAAACCAGCTTACCTGGCAGGCCTTGAGACTCAGCTTGATCTCCACCTGGCTGGTCTGGGTCCCCACCCACATGTAGACCTGTGGGTGTGGCCGGGAGATGGTCTCATGGGGGACTCAGGAGCTCCCCCACCTTCTGGCCCAATTCCCCATTTACAAGTGGGTGGGCTCCTCAAATGGGCAGGGTCCTCAGGGGTCTCACCTCTTGGCCATTGTCTAACAACATGATGTCATCATCTGCCAGGTCATCTTGGCAGAAGTCAGAACATTTCTCAGTCACTGCGAAGTAACCTTTCTCATTGGAGCACCTGGGGGTCAAGGGTCAGGGGGAGACTAAAGGTCATCAGCAGAACTAGAGCTCAGGAGGAAGCTGGGGCAGGGGTCTGGGCCCAGCCTTACCGGAAAAGCCGGGTGTGCTTCATATATTCAGCGTCATCGTCATAAGGCTTCTGTGCACCTATGCCCACCCAGAAGAAGTTCTCCGGCTCCTCACCTTCATTGATGACCTGTGGGTGAAAAGTTGGTCCAGCCTGGGGTCCCTGTCTGCCCTCTCCTGCCTACCTGGCCTCTGCCTGCCCTGGTCACCTGCTTGCTGTAGGAGGCATCAAACATGGTGTTCAGTATATCCTCCGCCAGCTTGGCCTCGTCAGGGTTTGACGCCCGGCCCACCCATGCATACACGATGCCCTGGTTGTCTTCACTCTCAAAGGGAACCTGGAGAGTGCACAGGGTTCATTCAGGTCAGGTGCAACCAACATCTCCCCACCCTGACCCACAGTGCTGGTCATTCCCATGACCCTACCTTGAGGATGAAGCAGAACTCAGAGTTGAGGAGACTGGAGTCAGTGTTGATCTGGATGCACCTGGAGCGGGGGGTGGGGGGGGGTGGGGTTTGTCAGCAAGGAGTGAGGGTGGCTCACTGACCCCAACTGCCCACCTGTGCCCCTTCCCCAGCCAGGCACCGGGTACAGAGGGCGCTGCCGTTGGTGCGAATCTGGTAGAGGCTGGGGTGCAGGGCATCCTGAGCAGCCTTCCGCCTGCCCCGGTGGATGATAAACTTCCTCTTGAAATGGGACAGGAACTTGGGGTTCTCCTGCTGCTGAGTCATGCGCACCACCTGGATGTGTGGAAGTATCAGGGGCAGCTCCCTGGACCCCCACCCTGCCCCTCGTGGGCCAAGCCTTCCTGGCCTGAGTCTCGCCCCCACAGCCCCACATCCAGAGGCTGTGCCAGCAGAGCAGGAACACGGCAGGCGCACCTCTAGCTTGCCAGGGAAGAGGCTTTCAAATTTCTTCTGCAGGCTGAAGGTGAAGGTGAGCCAGCCCATGTTGGAGGCTTCCCGGCCCTGCCAGAAGTACACGATACACTGGAAATCCTCCTCGGGCTGCTTCTCCTCCACCTCGGCTGCTGCCTCCTCGCCTTCTTTGCCCTCGGCCCTGTCCTTCTCTTCCTTCTTCTCCTCCTCCTCCTCGTACTCCACAGGGACCCAGTACCTGCAGGGCCAGGGGCAGTGAGCAGGGGCCCCACGGTGGGGAGGGCGGGGCAAGGGAGGCGCTCTGTGCAGCACCTGCAGAGGAAGACGTAGCAGTCCTGCGTGTAGAAGTGGCCAAATTCTTCCTCAGGCAGCCGTGCGAACTTCTTACCCTCGAGCACGAAGCCCTCCATGCCGTCCAGGTCCTCGTTCCACTCTTCCATGAGCTGCTCAGCCTGCAGGGGACCCCCCGCTGGTGGGCCGGGGCTGATCCCTCCTCCCCAGGCAGTGGACCCACACAGCCTCCTCCCAGGCTCTGTCCCATCACAAGAGGCCCGCCCCACCTCAGCCAGCGCCATGGGAGGCTGCCTTGGCAGGAAGAGTGCAGTGAGGTCAGCCTTCATCTCATCTTTCTTCTCAGAGTCACGCTTCACCTTCCCGGCAAGTCCCTGGCCCTGCAGCACAGCCTCTGCATTGCGCGTGTAGTCCACCGTCAACACGTCATCCCAATTCTTGAACTTGGCCTTGAACACCTACCAAGGGGCAGAAAGCATGAGCTGCAGTGGGGTTCAGCACAGTTAAAGTTGAGGTGGGAGGATGTCAGGGGAGACTTGGGAGGCAGGCCCGGGGATGCAGGGGCAGGGCCTAAGAACTGGAAGTGGGAGGGGCATGTTACAGAAGGGTGGAACCCAAGGCCTAGGAGTAAGAGGGAGAGATTGGAGGGGGCGGGGCTTAGGCAGTGAAGGGGAAGAGGTGGGCTTGGGTTCAGTTCTGTAGGGCGGGAACATTCACAGAAGGGTCAGGGTTTGAAGGGTCCGCAGGATCTTGCGGAGAAGGCCTCAGGCACATAGCCTGCGTGGCTGGACTGCACTGTCTACCTGTGCCTCAGTGCCCTCGAGGCTGCGGCTGACCATGGTGTGACGTGGCCGGTGCAACATCCCACACAGCTCCTGGCCCAGTTTGAGGGCTGCGGCTCGCACAAGGCGTGGGGACTTGCGGCCGAGCCAGATGAACACATCAGACCAGCAGTCCAGGATGTACACACAGCGTGTGTCCAGGAGGCTCTGTAGCTGTGGGGCCGCCAGAGGCTGGAGGTTAACCAGTGCTGGGCTATCAGGAGAGGATCCGGCCTCCTCACCCACTTCCCGGTGCGTCTCACCAGCCGCATCCTGGGCATCAGTTCCACCTTGGGAGGTGTCTTATGCTCCACTGACAGCCTGTAGTTGATCTGGGGCAGCTCCAGGTAACCAAGGCCCAGGCCCACCTAGTAGGAGAAAGGTAAGCATTGTAGGGACAGGATCTGAGGACATGACCCCACCCACAGTAGCCTGGGATTGGAGCCTAGCCTTGACCTACTGTGTGCATTCAGGGCCACTGCCTGCTCCTCACTAGGCTCGTTTCCCCCCTCCACTCCATGATCATTTTAAGGATATCTTATCAGTGGAAGGACTGTTAAACGGTGCTTTCTCTGCCTGCTCTGTCCAGAACTTACTATTTTTCTAATTATCTAACTTGTCTTTTTCCTGCTCACAGGAAAAGGCTTCTTGTCACCTACAGAATTAAGGCTAGGCTCTCAGGCCTGGTCCCCCGGCACTTCTCAGCCTCTCTTTCCAGCCCCACCTTCCAGGAAAGACACCCTAACACTCTTCTTCTGGCCTGACTCAAGAGCCAGCCTCCAGATCTTGGCTCAGGCTACATCCTGTCCAGAAGGTGGTGCCCTCTCCACACCGAAGTCCAGATGGAAGACCGGTCACCACAGCGGTACAGGCCCTTCCCCACAACCTGACCCCTAGTGAAGTCAGGCCCACCCTGTGCCCAGCTCACCTTATACAGCTTGGGCTGGGGTGGCCAGAAGTCATCAGGCACATGCTTCTTGATCTCAGAGGGCTCACCACCAAGTGCCTCCCAGAACTCGGGGAGCTCCTGGCCCTGCACCAGCAGTGTGATCTCTGCCTTCCCTTTCCGCTCATTCTTGTTAATTTTTTCTGCAAAGAGTCTGAGAGCAGGTGCAAATCCCTTAGAAAGGCCATACCCCTTCGTAGGTGAGTTTTTCTTCACACAAACCCCCCACCATATCTGAACAGGGCACAGCCCTCATACCTGGCCTTGGTTGTGCTACTCAGAGTGGCCTGGGCTCCCCGCCACACATAGAGGTCCAGCCCTCGGTCTAGCAGGAAAACGAACCTGGACAGGAGGGGCAGGGGTGGGATGGGGGCCTGTGACAGGCACAGGCAGTGACCACTTCCAGGCCCCAACCCCACCCCAAGTCTCTCATTATGGGGCTAAGAGAGTTGCTTATGTCACCTGGACACATTTACTAAAATGTTTTTTAAAGTGGTTGCTGGAAGACTTCTAGAGCCCACATCTGTTCTTCACTGGTGGCGGGGAGGAACTTCAGGGTCAAGCGCTCCTGCCTCACCTCTGGGCTGCTCACCTGGGGTCCAGAGAGGCTCCCTTGAGTGGCACAGGCTCCAACTTGATATTCTTTTTCCCATACACACGGTACATCCTAGAGGCCACAGCGCAAGTAGCTTGGAGGGGATACCAAGGGACCAACTTACCCCTAACACCCCCCCCAATTCTTCCAAGCTGCATCCAGGTCAGTGCCCTCCTCACCTGGTGATGTAGTGTGTGTCCTCTACAGTGTAGAAGCCACTGGCTGTTCCGCCCTCAATGTAGGCGATGTCACTGTCAAACACCTGCATGTGTGAGGGTGCAGCCCTTTGTCACCGAGCTCCCACCACTTCCCACCGAATACCACCCTGCCTGTGCACAGGTGTGTCAGGGGCTGCACACCCGTGGTGAAGCTGAAGGGGAAGAATACAGTCTGTGTTTGTAAACAGGGACACATATCGATCGAAGTGTTAAGATGTATGACTGTATAAATGGGTTCGCTCCTGTGCCAGTTTAGACATGGAAAGCGTGCATGTGTCAGGGTGCAGAAGCAAGCAGGGCTATGCAGGGCACTTGGGTGCATCTGGGTAAAATCTCGTGTGTGGCCTCCCCAACAGGGGATCAGCTGGAGGAGGGCCGGCGTGACTTGCTAACCTGCTCACTGGGCTTGGTGCAGTCTTTGGCCTTGCCTCCTTGGTACCTAGCTGATGGCTCCGACCCCTAGCCATATTGGTTCCAGTTCCCCATCTCTTTCTTGGCCTCCAATGATCCAGGCTCCCCCACCTCTGGCCTCATCTTGCTCTCCTGACTTCACCTTTTTTTGTGCCTGCCTTCTACTTTAGGTCTGAAGCCAAAAGCTTTTTGTCCCAGCTCCCTGCCCCGCCCCATTAGCCATGCCCATCACCCTTGCCCACCCCTCCAAGGCCCTCCCAGCCCACTGGCACCTGCAGGAACTCCTCGCTCTCATCGCCCATTTCCTCCCGCACAGTGCGGCACTCTGCACCCAGGTAGTTGCGCAGGTTCACCGCGTGGATAGCAGAGCAAGCCTTCTTGTCCAGAGTGGCCTCTCCACCAATCCAGTAGTAGATCTCCCAGTTCAGAGAGCTGCTGTCATCCAGAAAGGTCTGGGGGCCAGGGCACAGTCCTGTCAGCCCTCACCAGGCAGTTTTGGTAGCTCCCCACAGATGCCGCTCTGATGGGCACCGACTCCCCAGCACAGGATGGGGTGCACTGCCACCCCCCTGCCGGGGCCCTTGCCCCTGGCCTCCTTGGCAAAACCTTCCCTCCCAGCTTGCCTCAGTAAACAAAAGCTGTGGCGTTGGGGATTCTGAGCTATCTAAGGTAAGGTCAGTGGGGGTCTCATAGTCCCCAGCAGTGCACCTGACTCACACCTTGAGCACGATGTAGCAGTCAGCCTCGTAGAATTTGCCATGTAAGGCTTCCTCCACCAGCACAGGAATGAAGTTCTCGATCTGCCAGATGGTCAGGCCAGGCAGCTGGCCCACGTCCTCTGTGAAGAACTCCGAGTAGTCGAGGCGAGGTTTCTCCAGGCCCTGGTCCCAGCGCCTCACCCTGCCCCCAGGGGCTCGGCTGTCGGTGATTTCCTGGGGTCACAGCCACAAGTGTCCACTCAGACCGGTTGCTGTACTCAGCACCTACCTCAGGGCCTTTGCCCAGGGTCCCCTCTGCCTCTGGGTCATGCTCTTGAGCAGAGCCCAGGACCACCTGCCCTGCCCTAGCCCATGACCTGACTTACCTCCTGCTTTTTGTTCTTCTCCTGAGCTACGTCTGACATGCCCTTCAGCACCTGCTTGGCCTGGTCATCCTGGGCTGAGTCCTTGCGCCTCCGCAGTCTCATCTTTCGAGCCAGGGGGTCCTTGGGCCCACCCCCTACTTAGGGGAGGGGGGCAAATAGCTAAGCCCTAACGTGGCCTACCCCTGGGGCATCCAGCCAACCAGGGGCCAACCCAAACACCAGTGTCCAAAGAGCTGTGTCCCACTCAACTTACAGGTAGGTACGTGGAGCCCGAGAGAGGCCCTGCACTCTCAGGCCAGACCCTCCCCTGCTTACCAGCTACTGCAGCAGCCACTGTGGCAGGTGAGGCACCTGCCAGCCGCAGCTGGTTCTGCAGTGAGAAGTCAATGTTGTACCACTCGGCGGTGCGGTCAGCAGGCTTGGGAGGCATGACCAGGCTGGGGTTCTCCCGAACATCCAGGACCTGCCTCATGGGGTGAGCAGGGGGCACTGAGCCCAAGTCCCACCTCTCCACCACACCAAACCCTGTTCCTTGCTCTTTGCAGCTGCCAGGTCTGAGAGGCTCAGGGCTGGGGCCAGGGGCTTGTGTTCTCCTCCCAGCTCAGTGAGTGACCATCCCTTTTAAGAACTGTGACCTTGCAGGCTGTCTGAGGGACTTAAGTCTGTATGCTGGCCAGCAGGATACAGGTAGAGGGATGTGGATCACCTCCTCCCCAGAAGCACTCTGGCAACGGCCACCATTCCAGGAGGCCTCTGCTGGGTCCCTCACTCCAGTGACACCCCTGTGGTCGGTCTTCCCTGAGGGCCTATCTGTATCTCTGCCCTCCTCACCAAACCCCGCTCCCAACTCTTGGCGCAGCCCTGCCTGCCCCGACCTGGATCTCTGTCAGGAAGTGGATAGCCTCTGGCAGGGTCACCAAGCGGTTCTTGTTCAGGACAAGTTTCCTCAGCTTTGTGCACCTGTGAGGACAGAACCAAAGCTTCAGAGAGGGGAGGGGAGGGGCAGGGAAATTTCCAGTCCTGGGAGAGGGGAGGCAGGCAGGCCAGAGGACTGAGAGATCTGGTAGTTAAGAAACCAGTGAGCTTGAATGTGCTAAAAAGGCAGACAAAACTGAGCACATGGAACTTGGGTCTCCTCACAGCTGACTGTGAAGTTCTCTTGTGACTTTGACAGAGCAAAATTTGTCCAGGTGACCTTCTGCAGATTAAAGGTCCCTGGATACAAACACGAAAAAATGTGTTCTGTGTCAAATTGTCTTGGAAGCTGCTGAGGTGCGGGACGCTCTGTTCTGCCTGAAGGACCTCTCAGAGCCAGGAGGCCGTGTGAGAGGACACTGTAACCTCCAGAAAGGGATATGGAAGCAGCACTGTGCCCCAAACTCACATGGCACTGGAACCCCTCAGGCCTTGACCCAATCGGTGTTCTCCCAGAGGGTGCTCTGGGGAACCCAAACTGGGAGTCGCTGGCCCAGGCCTGAGCAGTCTTTATCCATAAAGCCAAATCAACTCCTCCATTCTGTACAATGCACGAAGACCACAGGGCGTTCCTGCTGTCACTCCGGGGTTTCCTGAACTGTGGGTGCCCCCGCCTCCCTGGCCAAGCCTCTCCCTGACACCTGCAGAGGCTCTCAGGGATCAGCTCCAGGTTGTTATTGGCGGCCATGAACTCCTCCAGGCTGGCCAGCTTGCCGATGCCCGAGGGCAGTCCATCAAAGTCCAGGTTGTTGGAGTTCAGGTACAGCTTCTTCAGCTTGGTCAGCTTGCAAATGGCTGACTGGAGGGAAAGCAGAAAGAGGCAGGAGTCAGGGTAGCAGCTAAGATGGCCCAGTGGCCTTCCGGTCCCTCCCTAGTCCTGGACTCACAGGCAGTGAGGTGAGCTGATTTCGGGACAGGTTCAAGGTCTCCACATGTACCCACTGGTCAATGCACAGGGACAGCTCTGTGATCTGGTTGCTGCTGAGGTTGAGGCGTCGCAGGCTGGAGAGGGTGTACAGGCACTCTGGCACCCGCGTCAGGTCGTTGCAGGATAGGTCCACATCTGGGACACGGGGTGAGGTGCATCAGCTGGGGCCCGAGGCGGCCAGATCTCACTGGAAGCCTAGCTCCACCACCTCCAGGCTGTGAGGCTTTTAGCGAGTCACTTAACCTCCCTGAGCCTCAGGAGAGACTCCCTCATAGGGGGTTCTGAGCATAAAAAAGTCGGTGCTCAGGACTGGGTGTTACCACTGGTCATCACGGTCATGGCAGAGACAAGCACAACATAATCACATGCTGGTCAACCCCTCTGGTCAACCCCTTCCTCTACGGAAAGTAAGGTACCTGAGGGGACCAGAGGCTGATGGGCCACCCGGGGACTACTGACCTGTGAGGTTGCACAGACCCTCAAGGCTGGTGGGGAGGTTGCTCTGGGTGCGCTGGGTGTTCCTCAGGTGCAGGGTCTGTAGGGCTGTCAGAGCTGGGAGCTGCCTGCAAGGAGATGTGGGTGGTCAGGCCAGGGGAAGGCCCAAGACAGCTGTGGGGTGAGATGACAGGACAGAAAACTAGGGTAGGGCCTGGCTGAGGGGCACAGCCCACACCAAACCCAGGATGGGAAGGGTAAGGGCTGCTGGGGAGCAGAGAGGCCAGGCCCGTGCAGTGCTGACCGGAGCTGGGCGTGCTGCAGTGGGTTCCCGTTGAGAATGAGTGTTTGCAGGTGCAGCAGGCGGCGCATTTGCGGGGGTAAGCTCTCCAGGCAGTTCTCACTGAGGTCCAGGTACAGCAAGTCGGTGAGGTTGATGAAGAGCTGGTTGGGGATGGTGTCAATGCTGTGGGAGGAGGAAGAGAGAAAGGGGACAGGGTCAGCAGGGCTGCCAGGTCAGTACCACATGCCTGCCTTTGGGACCCACCTGGCCCCTGTTGCATCGGAGGCCCTGCCTGGTTCACCCTCCAGGCCTGACAGGTACCTGTTATGGCTGAGGTTTAGCACCAGCATGTTCTTGGCATTTTCCAGCTCCCGAGGGCACTCTGTTAGCTGGTTGTAGCTCAAGTCCTGGGTAGGAGGGGTAAGGCCAAGTCAGGAGTCAGTGCTGGTCCCACCTTGCCACTCCTCTGTCAGCCTGGGAGATCAGGCAGGGCACTATGAAGGGGGCAGATAAGGGGCTTTCGGGCCTGAAAGGAGACAGCCAGGACCCCGGCAGGAGGGTACCTAGGCTAAGACTCTAACTTTATGAATAACCTTGGGCAAGGCACTGCCTACTCTAAGCCTCAGACTCCTGATCTGTAAAATGAGGTAACAATGGTCTTAGATCCCCAAGACCACTGTTGTGGGTGGGTAACCACTGACCAGGACTGAGAGGTCCTCCAGCTTGAAGATGTCATCAGGCACTCCAGAATTCTTCAGGTTGTTGGCTCGAGCCACGATGGCCTGGAGGTAAACCACGAGTCTGTGATTCTTGGCTTCTCCCCCAGGAGACGCAGAGAGATGAGGGAGGGACCCTCCTTAGGAAGCTCACTGGAGGCCAGGCCTGAACGCTCTCCCACCCTGGCCTTCGCTCACAGTCATTCCACCTGGCAGGCTCTTCCCCTTCTCCCCATGAGCTCCTATTCACACCTCAAAGCCCAGTTCAAATGAGCCCCAGAGCCCAGCACAGCATCCCTAGGGAAACTTTTCTGGTTGAACAATCCCTCTTCTTCTTTCCAGAGGGCAAGACAGGGATGAAGCTCTGAGTCAGGGCTCCTAGGACAGAGAGAGAGGCTTGGCCCGATGGGAAATCAGTGTGGACCGAGCAGGTCTGTGTTTTCTCCCAAGGACTGGAACTTCATGCTGCCAAACAGGTTTTCTCCCGAAGACATAAAAAGGTCAAGGAGCAGAGGAGAGGTCAAGAAATGGTGCTGGGATTGCAAGTAACAGCAGGGTCCAGGGCTGCCGCTGCCCCTCCTTTAGCCCTGTGTCTGTGTGGTGCCCTGTGGCTTCACAATGATCCCCCACTGAAAGCTTCCCAGATAGTGGGACTTGTCTGAGGTCAGCAGGCAGGAAGTGGCAGAGCCAATTTGAACTCAAGCAACCTCAGTCCTTAAGATCCAGGACTTTGGCTGTGGATGGGAATGACCTTTGGCTGAGGCCCGAAGGGTCTTGCCAGGAGCCCGATGTTCTGGAATGTCAGAAGCTCTAAGAAGAGCAGAAGTGTGAGCAAGCCACACTGACCACCTCCCCTTCTGGCCAAACCCCTCACCCTAGCTCTACCACGCCTGGCTATATGACCTCTGCCAAGTGACCTCTGTGGCCAAATGTCCTCATCTGTGAACTTGGTGGAGGTCAGCATTACAAGAAAAATTCCACATGGAATAGTTAGGACATTTTCTAACCACTACCAGTTATTATTGTAGCTGTTTCCCAAAATAGGTGAGATTTTGTATTTTTCGCCTTTTTCCCCGTGGGTTACTTAAGACAAGGCATTGTTATATCCTCTCCCCCTGAGGAACGAGTTCCTGAGCCTGACGCCAGGATAGGAAGATGTGATGCTCCAGCCTGGGGTCTGGCCCAGCCCTCATGCCCCTGGCTGGTGGGCTCCAGTCCCCACCCCAAACTTGGTGGCCCCCACCTACACTTACCCGAAGAGACGGCAGGCTGGACAGCTCCCCATGAAGAGTGGTTAGGTGGTTGTGGCTCACAGAGAGGTGCTCCTGGGCCGGGACAAGGGAGCTGAGGCTCAGTGCGGTGAGAGGGGTGTCTCACCCCTCTCACCCCACAACTTTGCCTTTGTCTATGGGGTCTCCATCTGCCACCACAACTTTGCCCATTCAGAGGTCCTTCAGCCACACAGGCCCAATCCACCTCTGCAGCACCCCGCCCTCACAGACCCCACCTTGCATGCTTCCCAGGACAGAGTGCTTCTTCCTTCTTTGCCAGCTTTGCTCATGGCTATCGACAACCTTCTCTGTCATCTGACTTCTGTACCTGGTCTAGCCCCATCCATGGGCACCCACCCTGCCCACTGAAAAGCCCTCACCAGCTTCTGTAGGGCAGCCAACTCCTCGGGCAGGTAGCAGAGGCCGGTGTGGTTCAGCTTCAGCCATCGCAGACTGGTCATGGCCTTGACATTTTCAGGGAAGTAGCCTCCCTGGGAGGGGTATTCATGGTTAGGCTGGTCTGGGAGAGGCACGTCCCTGCTCTACCACCCACTATGGCCCCCAGCTGCCCATGGAAACCTTTGGGAAGCAGGGCAGCCAACTCTCACCAGCTGTGTGACCCCAGACAAGTCACTCTGCCTCTCTGTGCCCTAATTTCCTCAACATAAAACAGGGTTCATAGAAGCCCCTCTCATGATAGAAGTGTTGTGAGAACCAACTAATTATTGGGATGGCTGTTGGCCTACGATCTGTATCTCTTGCTGGTTCTGAGCCCCAGGAGAGTCAAGACGGAATCTCAGCACCCAGCTATGTGGTCAGCTTGGCTCAAATGCTTTCAACCAGCATTCCAGGCTCTGCCTGTGCTCTCTGCTGTGGGGGTAGCCCCTGAGTCTCTACCATGGTCCTACCTGTGCCCTTCATCATCAGCATACAAGCCATTTGTGACAAGGTCCAAAGCCCTAGTGCAAGGCCCCAGCTCCCAACCCTGCACAGGTACGGCCTCGTTCATTCATTCATTCCCATATTCGAATGAATGCCCACCTCAGTAGCCCCTAAACCTTGTGGCAGGGAGCCTGGGGTAGCATGTGCCTTCAGTGCCCTCGGCTGGTGTCCCCTTCCCCTACAGCCACATTTCTGGACAGTGACTCAGATTTTCAGTCTGAAGAGGACACATGAAGACCCCAGGTGAGGATGGTGGGCATGGAGGTAGAGGAAAGTGGTGTGGTCCCCTATATGTAGGGTCAAAGTGCATGCACATATGGATAAATGCAGGAAGAACCTGCCTACCTCTTTGGCCTTGGCCAAACCGTTGACCCCAGCTGACATCTGGGTTCCCCGATCCTACACACCAGGCTGACATTAAACTGACTCCAGCCTGAGTCTGCCCACTCTTCCACCCTTCAGCCTGGGCGGGGTCTCCTAGTACCACCAGGCCAGCTCTCACCTCCCTCAGCTCCCACCCAGCCTCCTCAGGTCACGCCCTGCCCGCCTCATCCTTCACCCTTTCGAAAGGCCCTACCCACAAATGGTTGGAAGGCTGGGCTAAGGCTCTTGGTGGCCCTGGTCCATCAGTCTGGCAGCTGCCACCCAGGGCCTCCTACACTTGCCTGGCACACTCTTCAAACCAACTTGTCTCCAAGACGGTAACTTTTAAGCCCTTTCACAGAACAAGAAAACCGAAGGGAAGGGACTTGCCCAAGACCACACAGGGCGGGGCTGGCAGGAACAAGGTAGTGGTAGTGATAGCTGCAGACCCAAACAAGGCGCTCGGACTGCCCGTGGCGCGGCAGTGACTCAGGGCCTGGCAAGAACGTGTGACCTCAGCGGAATGGGAAAGGAAGGCTGGAAAAGTGGGGGTAGAATTCACTGACCCCTGCCCAGACACCAGGACGGGTACATGGGGTAGGGGCTCCCAGCCCACCCCCTAGCGTGAATCAGAGCTCAGGCGTCGCAGCCAGCCCGACCCGGCCTCGATCTCCCGGTGCGGGCCCTGAGCTGAGCCTTGGGAGCCCGCGATTCGAGCCCCAGGAGAGCCCCACCCGGCCCCGCCCTCATTCCCTGGGCCCCAAGGCAGACAAGACAGGAAGCAGAGACCTGAGCGGGCTGGAGCGGACAAGATGGCTCGGAGGGGAGCCTGGCCCACCACCCGTCCGGCTCACCTTGAAGTCGTTGCCGCTGAGGTCCACGCCGCGCACGAACGGCAGCACTCCAGTGGCCTCCATGGCGCCGCTCTCACTGCAGAGCCGGGCCGGCCGCTGGACGGCGGTGAGGGAGCTGCGGGCTGGGCCACCGCTAACCCCGCCCCTTTAACTCCTCCCGGCCCCTTCGGGCGGAAAGGCGGAGCCTGAGCTCAGTCCCTCTAGCCCCGGCATCCCCAGGCACCGCGGGAAGCGCGGGTCCCCTCCCCGGGAGGGTTTAGGCCTGCCCTGGCCTCAATGTACTCGTCTTCCAGGACTGGAGGGGCGTCAAGGAGTTCGGGGGCCCCGTGTGCTTGCGCAGGAGGCTTCATAACCTCCAGGCTAAGAAGTCCCCGCGCGCCCCTGGCAGTGGTGCACCCCGAGCTCTGCAACACCTGTCTCCAGGGCTGCTGCGGTGGAGCAAGTGTTGAAGTTGCCTCCCTGGTTCTGGAACCCAGGCCCGGGGACGCAGCTGCCCTCCTAGGGAGTCTTTATCCGCACGCAGGGCACTGCATGGCGCCCACTGGGAGTAGGATGCCTGGGTCGGGCCCTTGGACCCAGAGCTCTGAGCAAGCCCAGGGCTGCTCTCGGCCTGTTCCCTCATCTGTGAAATGCTTCCTGAGGTCGTCGCCAGAAACAAATGAACAAACGCGGGTGTAGCTCAAGGTGTACAGCCGGCACTCAGTAAGTGGCACGTTACTATTCCAGCTTCAAGCCAATGTTCCCCACCTCCACACACACGGTCAGTTTATTTGCTTACTTGCCGCACCTCCTCCGACCGGCACATAGTAGGCCCCCAAGAAATAAATGCCAAATAAACCACAGGGTATATACACAATCATCCTTGTCGGGGCGATGGGGTTCTGGTGTTCCGGTTTCAAAGAAAAATGAGGCCCGGGTGGAGAAGGAGCCGGCAGAAGGTCACACGGAGTGGGCCGCAGGGGAAGATTTCCGGCTCACACGGTGTGCCCTGTGGGCCTAAAGATAAGACTAAGCATGTCTCCAAAGCACTCTCACAGAGGTGACCTGAAGGGTCAGCCTCACAGACGGCGGCGCGGGGCCTGGTGCGGCAGTCTGCCTAGCCCCTGGGAGTAAGGTGGGCTCAGACCCCTTTCTCCACACCGGAGGCTCATATTACAAGTGCACACGCATCATTACAGGTTCCGGGGGCCAGCTCATTCCGCCAACCGATGAACTGGCACAAAACTGCCCAGCCGCCCACTCGGAACACCTTTAAATTCGGGGTGCCTTTAAATTCCGAGTGCTTCAGAAAGTCCCGCCCCCAAGGAAGCGCGCAGCTCTGTAGGGGGCGTGGCCTGCTTGCCACTGGCTGAACCAATGTAGTATTTTGGAGCAAAGTCTTGGGCTTGAACGCTCTGATTGGAGGCAGGGCCTTCCGGTCTGCGTGAGTTTCCGAGTCCGCGGCCGCCCCTGGGGCCTAAACGTTCGGGTCCTGAGTTCCTCACATTCCATTGTCAGGCGGGTCTAGGTTTAGGGCCGGAGGAGACCCGCTGCGTCCGCCTGTCGCTGCGCTGAAGCCTCGACGCAGGTACGGCCAGAGTGCGACGGCCCGTCCAGGGTCACCGGTCCTCCGGCGTGGAGCGTGCTTGGACGCGGGTCCGGGGGCGTGGCCTCCGGCCGGGCCCGGGGTCCCCGTAGTGAAATGAGGCAATGGCTTTGGACCTCCAGGAGTTCGAATCCCATACTGGGTGCATCGCTTAGTTTCTCAGAGCCTCTGTGCCTTCCCCTGTGGCCCGGGCTTTAACAGGCCCCCAGGAATTACTGCGGGGGCCCCTACCCTGCGTTTGGCAGAGGAGAGGGAAGACAGTTGGCATCCCAGTGCGTTGTACGGCCCGGCTGCGCAGAGTCGGTTTATTTTTAACCACCTTCTCCCTTTCCTCCTTCCCGGAGTGGGCAAGCTTTGGGTTGGGGCCTGCGTGACCCCTCCAGGGACTCGCTTGAGTCCCAGGTTAGACAGGCGGCGGGTATTGAAAGTGCTTTATAGTTTGTAAAGCGTACTCCTGGTTCCGCTGGAGGCGGGTAGCAGTTGCTGGGCCGTGGTGGGCACCCCGTCAGTCAGCCTTTGACCAACCCAGACCCTAGAGCCTGCCTTTGGATCTCAGGGCATGGGGTTTTGGGGCTGGGGCTGAGGCCCCGGGTGAGTCAGGCTTCAGCTGTTCCAGTCATCTCCTCACCTGGCAACAGTCCTGGGCACCCACAGCTGAACAGGCAGGGCAGATGTCCTTGGTGCCCTCAGAGCTGGCTCTGAGCTCAGGGTCATCGGCCCTGGAAAAGATAGTTCTGCCTGGTGCCTGGCTGGTCCTCTGGGCTTGCCCCTCGATCACCTTCACCCTCAGCTCTGAGGGCCTAAGGGCAGGATTCCCTCTGAAAGAACCTGAGGCTGGGGCCTGGTGGATGGAGCCCTGGGAGAGGTCTCTTCCTACACTCCCCAACTTCTAGACTTCTCGGTTCTAACCCTTCCTCCCTGCTGTCTGGGTCACTTTACAGGTGAGCAGGTGGCTGAGGCTCCAGGCCCTCTGCTTTCCTTCTCTATTGCTTAGGCTCCCTGCAGCTGAGGACGGCTCCCCATTCCCGTTGTCCCAAGCCCAAAGGCACCGTCCCTAGGTACTGGGCCAGTCCTCTGTGGAAACTTTCACAGTGTAGAGTTACTTTACTTGCTGTCCACACAGCAGGGCCTTTGGCCTTAACTGGCACATACCCACTGACAAGCAGCCCCTGTCCCTGGGCAGCGGGGCCATCTCACTAGGCCTGTCCTTTGCTTTGATAGCTCTGCCTTTGGGGGCTACCCTGGCAAGATTTGGAGGTAATTATGGCTTCATTGAGATCCCCCAAAGGTCTGAGAGGCCCCCCAGGGCATGCTCTCTAAGGCCCCAAGTTGTGGTTTTCTCTGGGCCTTGTTCCCTCCTGCCGTGCCCAGCCCTGGTTAAAAACCAGGATGAAACAGCCTCCAGGGACTCTGGGGGTGGGCGAGCACCTGGAGGCTTTGCAGCGTGGGTCCGAGCACCCACTGTTCACTGTGTGCCCTAGCAGCCTGTTTCTCTGTAAACTTGGGGTGATGATAAGGCCCTCCTCACAGGTCTTTTGGTGATGTCAGGAATCCTGGAGGATGGGGTTGGGGAAATGGGCCCCTTCCCTGATCTTTCTTATGTGAGCCCACCTGTCCAAGGGGTGGGTGGGCAGTTTGCAGATTTGGGGAAGGGGGCTCAGGCAGTTCCCCTTCCCCTCACAAGAAACCCTGCAAGCAGCCTGTTTGTCACGAAACTCTCAGGAATCCTTGGTGGGCTTGAGTCAAATGACCACAGCAGGATGGCAACCAGAGTGCTCACCCACACGTGCCCTGCTGTCAGCCTGGCTCCCCCCAGACTCGGTGGTCTCTGCACCCTGGCTCTCTTTCAGGCAAACATGGCGGAGTTCTCCCAGAAACGGGGGAAGCGGCATGATGATGATGTGTGGGGCAGCGCTGTGGACTTCCTCCTGGCCAATGCTCGCCTGGTGCTGGGTGTGAGTGGGGCTGCCGTGCTGGGTATTGCCACCCTGGCTGTGAAGCGGGTAAGGCCATGCTGGGCCAGTTAACACTTGGGGCTTCCAAAAGAGGACCACAGGGCTAGTGCCTGTGGTAGGGCCCTGGGAGGTGGGGTGGGGACTGCCCAAGGCTGTCGCCCAGAAACCTTGTTTGCTTTGCCCCAGGGCTTTACCATGCTGCCCAGGCTTCAGACACTCTGACCTGTACCCCTCTGTCTGCAGCTCATTGACAGGGCTACCAGCCCTCAGGACGAGGATGACATCAAGGGAGATGCTACATGCCTGGAGGACAGTTGGAAGGAACTGAGCCTGCTCAGGGCCACACCATGCCAACAGCCCCAGTCCTCACCTGCTGCCCTCAGCCATCCTGTGCTTCTCTCAGCCCCCTCACTCTTTGCTCCAGGTGAATGGCACCCCTCCTCCTCTAATTGGTTGGGTCCCCCTTTGGTGGTTACACTGAGGAGATGTGTACAGCCCAGGCTCTGCTGCTGACTGACTGTGACCTGTGGGAGATGCTCCTGCCCCAGGGCTGTGGGCTCCCTGCATGTTTAATGGTGTTTTCTCCCGCCCTTTTGCCAACCACTGGGACATGTGGACTTTGGGGGTGGTACAGAGCAGGGTAGTAGCCTTAAGACGGTGGGGGGCCTCAGAGGGGGAAACTGAGGTCCAGAACCCAATTCTCCACTCTGCATGAAGCTGTTTTGGCTTCAGAGAATTTGTTATCAGACCACTGTGCATATGTGAGCACCTGAGCTAAGTGCCTTCTCAGGCGGCCATTTTATGGGCAAGGAAAATGAAACCCAGGGCCGATACACAGCTAGTAGTTCTGTAGCATTCTCTTGGTCTGTCACAGGGCTTCTGACATGTTCCCTGGCCTTTCACTCTGCAGAGGGGCCTGCAGATGCTGACCCTCAGCCAGCTTCTCAGCTTAGCTCGCCAGCACCACTGTGCCTGACGTTCCAGGAAAGGCTGTTGGCATACGAGCGAGACCGTGTGAGCATCCCAGTGTCTCATGTGGCTCTGGCCAAACAGTTGGCTGGTGACATTGCCCTGGAGCTGCAGGCCTACTTGCAGAGCAAGTTCCCAGAACTACCTTTTGGGGCGCTTGTGCCTGGGGGGCCACTTTATGATGGCCTGCAGGCAGGGGCTGCTGACCATGTGCGTCTCCTGGTGCCCTTGGTGCTGGAGCCGGGCCTGTGGAGCCTAGTGCCTGGCGTGGACACTGTGGCCAGGGACCCTCGCTGCTGGGCCGTGCGTAGGACTCAGCTTGAATTCTGCCCCCGTGGAAGTAGCCCGTGGGACCGCTTTCTGGTGGGAGGCTATCTCTCTTCCCGTGTCCTGCTGGAACTGCTCCGCAAGGCCCTGGCTGCCTCCGTCAACTGGCCAGCTATTGGCAGTCTTCTCGGGTGCTTGATCCAGCCCAACATGGCCTCAGAGGAGCTGCTGCTTGAGGTACAGAATGAGTGCCTGGAGTTCACTGTTGCTGTACTCCTGGTGGTCACCGGGGCTGACCACGGGGTGGTCACGGAGGATCGGCTCCTTCTGGCCTGGCCCCTGGAGGGGCTGGCTGGGAACTTCTGGCTGCAGGATTTGTACCTGGCAGAGGCTTCCAGGCTGCGAGCTTTGGATGACCGAGATTTGGGGACTCGCCGGCGGCTGCTGCTGCTACTATGTAGTGTCTGCCAAGGTCATCCAGCCCTGCGGCAGCTGAACCGGAGCCACCTGACCCAGGTGGTTCTCCGTCTAGGAGAGGAGGATGTGAACTGGGCTGAAGAGGCCTTGGGCACACGCTTCCTGCAGGCAGTGGAGCTGCTCATTGGCAGCCTAGAGCAGGCCAGCCTACCCTGCCATTTCAACCCTGCTGTGAACCTCTTCGACAGCCTGCACCCACGGGAGATTGACAACATGGGTTACGCACTATACTTTGGCCTGCAGGCCCCGGAGGGGCTGCTGTAGATGGGTGGGACAGGGCCAGCAGCACGTGTTCTGATGCTGGTGAGCTGCATGCTCCTCTCTTCCAGGGATTTGGAGGGCAGTCTTTCTTTTGCTTTTCACCGGAATAAAAGAGGGTGCATTACCTAAGCCTGCAGGGTTAGCATGCACATAGGCAACTTCTAAGTCCAGAGAGCTTGGGTTGCTGTCACCTGAGCACGGCTGTGCTGCCTCTCAAGCAGCCTGGATTGCCAGCCTCTCACACACTCCCCCTTGGCCTTCTGGACTGACCTGGACTTGGGCTTGGTCCATTGTCACCAGCAGTGAATCCATTGACAGAATATGGCTTCTGCCGTTCTAGGCAGTGGATAAGGCCAGCTCTGTTTTTCTGTTGAGAGGATGAGTTCAGTACTTTGCTTGAGTGCCAGCTCCAGGTGTCTCTAGGCCTCTGGTGTAGGACGGTAAACACCATGTGTTTGTTCACCCTCATGGGCAGTGTTACCTGGTGCCTTCAGGATGCAGCTTTGGCTGGCTTAGAGGCTGGGGTTTTCCGATGCCATCTGTGGTCTAGTTTGCTTGTCGGGCACCCCTCCAGCCTGGAGTGGGAGCTTAGCTTGATGAGCTGCCCACCTCATACCTTTGCAGAGGGCCTTCTGCCCTCCACCAGGTGAGCTTCCTCTTCCGGGCAGTGGAGGCCCCTGGGAGAGCCTTTTCCCCACTGGAGGAGGCAAGGTTCTGTGCTGCCTGCCTTGCCCAGAGCCAAGGGTGTCCCGCTAGCCACTGGTGGGCCCAGTGAGACAGCAGAGGCTGGTGCGTAGGCTGGCCTCCCCAGTGCCAAAATGACTGCCCTCAGCTGACGCCTGTGTTCTCACTGAAGCTTGGCAAGGTGGGGGTTAGGAAAGGGAGGGTCTGCCTCTCCTCCCAGGTGTTCCTCCTGTCTTTGATATCCTTCCTGCTGAAGCAGACCTGTGCCTCGAAGAATGTGAACAAGAATAAAAGCAAGGATTTACAAGGATTTATGTGACTCATGGTAAGCTCTCATAAGCAGCTCTTTGGAGTTCTGGAAACTTGTCAGAGGGTCTTGGGACCCACCTGGAGCTAGCACAGTTTAACTGGTAGAGGTTATCTGGAGGGAGATGATTACAAGACTCCTGGTGTGATGTCTTGCTTTTGTAATGGGAACCAACTAGGGTTTTGTTTCTTCCCAAAGCCTGAATTTCTTAGTTCAAAATCCCTGTGATTTCTTAGATGGCTAGAGCTGCCCCAAGCCTTTCAGCTAATATCATTAGAGAAGTGTGATTTTTTTTTTCACCTTCCTTGTTTCTCCTTGTGGCTTCACAAATGGGGGGCAACCTCCCCTGAACACACGAAGAAGCAGGTACATCAGTGTCCCAAAAGAAGCCAGCGCTGGCTTTGTCCCCACATGACGAATGAGATTGTGTATACTTGGGGTGTGGGCACCACAGCTGTACCGTTCCCACTTGCTTGTCCCCTTCTGATCCATTGTACTTCCTAAGGTGACTGCCCTCCTTCCAACTGTGATTACAGGGAGCGAGGACAGGATTAGAGTGTTCCTTCATCCGAGGGGCTGTCACATGGGACAGATGCTTGTGTGCACCTCTGGCTGCAGGATCATGGGCTGCCTCTGGAAGTCACAAGGCCTCTGCAGCATCTAGACAGCTGAAGGGCTGCACTCAGGCTCTGGCCAGGGTCAGAGGGCAGGAGGCGGCTCAGCTGAGGGCCATTCAGGTTACTTGTCTCAGGAGCTGCTTCCCTCAAGCAGCTGAGGGCTGGCGAGGGAACAGGCTGGAGGCAGAGGCTGTGCTTCGGAATTCTCCTATAGAGTGGGGATTATGTGACACCTGTTTCCTAGGGTGATTGCGAGGAGTAATTGCTGGTGGGAGTGTTAGCACAGAGCCTGGCCCGAAACGGGGTGGCCCCCGCAAACCAGAGAGGCTTGCTGGCCCAATAGCACAGAGCCAAAGCACAAGGGGCCCTCTGCTGCCCGGCCTGTGCCTGACCATAGCTGTGCTCCTCAGGACAACCAGGGGCCTGGGGAAGGCTGGCCTGGGCGTGGCCAGGGCGGTGGGCCAGGAAGTGCGCCTGGTCCAGAGGTCCTCCTAGATGACCAAACTCCACATGTGGCCCCATGTGGGCAGGCCTCGTGCTTTCAGTGGTTCTGAACTTCCCCTCACACACCATAATTTCAGTAAAAAAAACAACAAAAAAACGGATGGATTAAAAGGGAGAGAAAGGTGTTTGTGGTCAGTACTGTTGTATGGTTAACACCTGGGACTTAAGTTCCTAGCCAGAGAAATGCAACCAGTCACCATTTTGCTAGGACTCTGTGTGGGAGGAGCTCAGCTCAGCCCCGGTCTGTGCCAGCTACATGGGGCATTGCTGCTCTGGGCCACTCTCTTTGGACACAGGATGGTTCCAGCTCTGAGCTAGGTTCCGTCTTGACCCAGGGTCTAAATGTGTTAATACTGAGACCCTTCAGCTGTGGTGCCAAAACTTGTCAATCCACGCCCTTGGTTTAACTTTACCAAGTGACCCAAGGCCTGGAATTGTGACAACTGTGGTACAGCAGTGATGCCACTTGCTCAGAATTAAAGGAATACCAGAGCCGATAAAATAATACCACGACAAACATGGCAAACAGGGACTTAAAAATTTAAAACGGTACCTACGTAACTCTAGAATACTTATTACCAGAGATCAAACATATCGTTTTTGTAAATTCACTCATAAGAATGTCTCCTCAGAAATACTTGGCTGCTAAGAAGAAAACTTAGCTGCATGATACTCTGTCAAGGGGCAGTGCCGGTCATCCTGCAGCAGGTCTGCCCAGTTGTTTCAGTCTTAAGGCCTGAAGAGCGTCTCTGTACACGGGCTTTCTCATTAGGGGATTCCTGGGAATGGAAAGCACTCAAACATAGTTCAGATTCTGAGGGATCTGACCAAACTGCATTCTGAAAGGGCTTCGGCCGTCAGGCTAGAAAACCGCCCTTTCGAAAGCCCGGAGCTGTGGCTTGGCCAGTGGAGCAGAAAGGGAAAAGAGGCTGAATCTGGTAGGGAGGTATGTGGCCCACCTCCCCACCAGACACACCTGGGCACTCACCACTGCATCCTGCCTTCTCCTGATCTCATGACATCTTTCTACTTTGAGTGGAAAATATAAGTGCAGTTCCTACTCCCACTAGTGATGCCTGTGCCCAGGGGCACATTGAGGAAAAATGGATCCAATTCAGGGTTAGCTCAGGAGCCACCTGGTTTGAGGACCTTAATGAGCCAGAATCTACCTCCAGAATAACTGCCTCTGAGCTAGTGTGCAAACCACACAAGGAAAGCACTTTCTGACTTTGGTTCCAAATGGGCCTTTCCCCTTAAGACCTGGGACTTAGCTGGCCAAGAGGCCAGGCTTGGAGTCCCAGAGAATAGACACGTAATCTGTAGGGGCTCTAGTACAGGCATTCATTCCTGCAGGTATGGGAAGAGTGCTGGGCCCAGGGTCAGGGTCAGTCAGGGTCAGGCACAGTTCAGCCTGAAGCCCACAGTCCCGGGCTACTGCTCCACCTCTGCCGTGTTCTAAAACAAGGGACACAATTGCATTTTTCAGAAGTATATTTTTATTTTCTAATCAAAAAAGTAAGCTAAAAAACCTTGTCCTGACTGGTGTGGCTCACTGGGTTGGACATCATCCCCCAAACTAAAAGGTCGCTGGTTCAATTCCCAGTCAGGGCACAGGCCTGGGTTGCAGGCCAGGTCCCTGATTGGGAGTGTGCGAGAGGCAACCACACATTGATGTTTCTCTCCCTCTCTTCTCTCTCCCTTCCCCTCTCTAAAAATAAATAAAATCTTTTTTTAAAAAAGGTTTTACCAGTTCATTTTTACCCCCCCCCCCCCCCCCACAACCAGGGACCTGGCCCTCAACGCAGGCATGTGCCCTGACCAGATTGAGCGCCTTTGCTTTGCAGTCTGGCGCTCAATCCACTGAGCCACACCAGCCAGGGCAAAAAAAAAAATTTTTTTTTAAATCCTAGTAACATTACAATTTGGTTGCATCTAATTCATTGAGGAAACTAAGGGTGTAGTGGATGAGACCCAGAGTGTCTTCCAAAGGCCAACACAAATGGCTGAGGATGGTGCTTTGGATCATCTTTACACTGCTGCCAGTTTTCTGAAACAGCACAGTTTAATTGGCTGGCGCCAGCTGGCAGGAAGGCCAAACTGTCAGGCCGCCCCCAGCACCACCTCCCAGTGTGAACCAGTGTGGATGGCCTGAGGCAGGGATGGAGCAAGCATACACATGTGCCTAGCAGGAACGGCCACCGGGAGTGAGTGGCACTGCACTGGCTTGCCATCTTAGTATTCTAGTCAGGAATCCTGAGTTATGGGCTGCAACAGGCCCCAGAAGGAAAGGCAGCTGTGAATTCACCCCAAGGGTTACCAGGGTCTCCTCTCAGTGTCCCAGATCTGGTACCTGACGTCAGCACAGTGCTGCTGGGCACTGGACCTGTGCTCAGAGAGTGGCCAGCCGCAGGGGGAAGAATGGGGCCTAGTTTTTTGCTTCCAGCTGCTCCAGGAGCAGGATGCATCGAAGGCAGTTCCCTTCAAGCAGCAGCAGCAGCAGCTGTGTGGGATAGCTGCTCTTGCTGTTTTCCAGACTGGGGCAGGCAGAGGTACTTCAGGGACATGCGAGGCAGAAGCCAGGCTTCCGCTTCTCTGAGGGACAGCAGGTGGCTCTCCTCAGCATGGAGAATGACGTGGATACTCCAAGAGCACTGAGGTGTAGAAGCGAAGGCAGACTGTTTCAATTCCCATTCAGCTGCTGCCAGGGAAGGCATTTACTCATCAGAGCCCCCTTGTCCCTCGCAGGAGAGCTGGGAGGCTGAGAAACACGGGGTGGTCAATTATGTGGCCTAGTTCTTAGTTGCAGGTAGGGGTAGGCTTAGTAAGTAAGGGGGGGTCATTTTACTCTGTCCTGCATTGTGCAGGCCATAGGAGATGGGATTCAAACCCTTCCAGCCACCATCAGAGGATCAACTTAGTGCCCCGAGTGCTGCTGGCCTGAGTGAGCCACCCAGAGATGTGGGAAATTCCCTCACAGGCTGTTCCTGGAGACTGCATTGCAACTGGCCCTGA